CCATCCAAGATTTTACAAATATGATAATGAAGAATGAAGTAAAAATTATTTTTTATTATAAATTGAATTTTAGTGAGATAGATTACAAATTACCCTATATTTCAAATTTAATAAATTCAAAATCTTTCATTAAAGATGTTATACAAATGAGAGTTTTGAATGTTGAATTTCTTACATCATATAAATATGATGAGATTAAACCCAGTTCAAAACCCGTAAATCACTTAAGTACTTTTATAAATTTTATAGGGTATATGATTAGATCTTTGATCTTTGATCTTTTATTGAACATATTATCCTCCTCATCTTTAAGTTTTAATACTAAATTGATGAAGTTTTAATTATTCATACTTCCACAATTAATATTTTTAAAATAACTACTCTAATCATGTTTCATGAATCATTTTGTTCAAGTTTTAACATTTTTCGACAAAATTAGCTCTATTTCTATGTCTGAAATTCTTACCATGGCTGATATCATTTTTTATGAATTTTTTCAATTATTTTCTGAATATTTAAATCCTTATTTATGTAAAAATTCTATTTCAGTATACGGATTTGTAACATTTCGAATTTGTAACTTTGAGTTTCATTTTAAAAAACTCAAAGTTACAAGTTACAAAAGATTCCATTGGAGTCTAGAAGATTTGTACTTGTTACAACTAAAAAACTTTCAAAAAAAATACATACAACATCGAAACTTCAATTTGCGTATTAAAGACTCAAAGTTTGAATAAACCATCAACTTCTAAATTCTGCTCTTAAAAAGCTAAGTGTATTTTTTAACAATTATGGTGTAACACATACCCTCATTAAATTAAATTGAATTGAGGTTTGATGTTCTTGTCGTGTGTTTACTACAGTTAAACTCTGATATGATGTTCAATTTTTTTTTTATTAATTGGATTGATCACTAGACAATAATGATGGAACTTTCAAATATCAAATTCAGCTTTTTGGTATTTTTTTTATCAAAATTTTGATCAATAATTATGTCAAATGCGGTAAATAAGATGCTTATTTAAGAAATTTTGTTTAAATATTTTCAAATATGTGTTTCACACCATAAAACATATAATAACAACAACATTCATAGCTATGAGATTTATTTTTGATTGATTATTACCCCATGCCGACTTTCGATTTAGAACATGATAAAGCTCTTTGTTTTTCTCTTGAGATGACTATGTGTTATTAAAGATATTGAATTATTAATATCCTCAACTTGCTATTACATGTAAAAATATAAAGTTCACAATCAAATGAGTAAATAAATTATCCAACTTAGTTTTATCAATCAAATAGTATTACAATTCAAATATTTTCAAAAAGTAAAATCTAGATTTTTGTTTGTTGAAAAGACAAAACAATGATGATAATTCATAAATCTAAAGTTACTCTATATATCTTTTTCATTAAAATTAAAAAAATATTCATAGTCATAACTAAGATTAGCACATTTAATTAGTGTAATATTTTACAATCCTTACCTTCATACAATTATGGATTTTAGAGCTTCGATATCAATTGTTTAGTCAAACACAAAAATATACACATATATAATCATTTAGTTGTACTTATGAGTGATTTGTTTTCAATGATACTTCATGTGAACAAATGGTCTCCTTATTCAAAACCTTATGTTTCATAAATTACATTTCTAAGTTTTTTCTTACATAACAATTGCAATGCAAACAAACAGATCATATATGACTAACTAGACTGATTCAAAATCTGATTTTATTGTAATTATTTTATATATTAATTTAAATGACTTGCAATGGAAAATGTCTACTTTCAAATTTTTGCCTTTTGAATTTCAAATGATAAAAAATTTCAATTTCAAGTACATTTTATTATTAAAAGATAAGATTAGTGATATTTGATACAATTGAAAAATCAGATTGTACATAATTATTTCTTAGTTTTACTATTAAATACTCCATAAGAAAAATTATTTGATTTGTTATCATAGATAAACAAAATTTTGATATTTCAAAGTTTTTAAGAATTAGCACGACTTGATAGAAGTACAAAAAATCATGTTATCTTAACTCATAATAAGTTTTGTCAATTTTGAGTTTATTTTCTTGCTAACATGAATTTGAATAAAATATTTTTAAAAAGATTACTTTCATGCTGAAATATATATTTTTCTAATCTTTTCGTTAGATTCTAGATATCTTCATTGATTTTCATAATAATAACAATTATGTAATTCAAAATTTCCACCACTCCTTTGTTATCAGCTCTTGAAAAGCAAGAAAATAGCAGAATTTAAGAGTGTGATCAATGTTGAGTGCAAGAGTTAAGCGCAAGCGAAAAGCCTAATGGTTCAAAAAATCTCAATCATGTTCAGGATGTATCAAGACTCTTTCAGAAAATGTCAAACTATTTCAGTTTCTTCGTTCCAAAGCGCCAATTTAAAACAATTCCACTTCATTGTCCGTGCTAGTTGCATAAGTTTCTTGTTGACGAGTTTGTTATGCTCTTACTGATGAAATCCATGGGAAGTCGCAAGACAAAAATGAAATTCAATATTCATCTAAAATTACTGTTATCGTCTTTCCCAAGTATGTAGCGTCAAACGCTACATACGTTTGATAGAACGAAGTATTGGAAGTCTTCTATGTTTCTGCAAATTGCCTAGGCCTAAAGTCCTCATGCACAAGATATATTTTGATGTGTATATATAATATTTCTTTGTTGTAAGAATTTTTGTGTTATGATCTCACTTTATAAGAAGAAAGTAAGCTGTAGCATTGGACATTTAGACTATGAAACTTGTGGAATATTGGAGAAGGTAATCTTGCGCCCCTGACGGAAGATTTCTTCCAGCTTCTTCAGAGGCATGGGAGACCCATCTGGAGCCAACTTCTGTATTAGTAGTCTCTCTTGACATTATGCCCAAGAAGGTTGAACCTTGGTCATGCCGGGGACTTCATCATTCTGATTGGAACCTTCAAGTGTGAGCAACTATGTCTTTGAGAAAGCACTGTGAAGGCTGCTGATTTCAATACGGGAAAGAACCATCACAACTGTGGCGGCACGGCATGAATTTGGAACGACAATTTCCTCTCCCCGCAGACTCGACCACAGAAACTAACCTCTGGATAGTTTTGCAAGTTCACATGGACATTGGGCTGCTGGACCAGGTCAAGAGTTCAATGTGTTCTCAGTTCAGTAAACACCATAAACCCAGAAGATGTGCACAGTTTTGTTCTCAGTTTGTATTCGTCTGCAGAAATGTGTTTTACATGAACAATGGTGGTGTAAACCAGTTGGTTATCTTCCTCTAAGTGGACTAAGTGCGGTCAACATATATCGACACACACACGTCTAGCACGTCCTTTAGCAATTCTAAGATGTTTCACTGCAGTTGTGCGCGTGCATAAAGACAGACACCGCATTTGGTCGAAGATAGCATGTACATACCGTGTGTTGGAAGAGCGGCACGGACCTACCGTGTGTGTGGGGAAGGTGAGAAAAAGTTTATAAAATCTCGGCAGGTTTGATCAGGCCAAGAGCATGTCTCGGATTTGATGGCCCCAAGCTGAGCGAGCTCCCCTCACGAATGCTTTCTGAGGCGCAGAAAGCGTTGGATCATCTTCTCGCCCCCTGTTAGGATGTCGACCACCCAAGTTCATACGAAGGGTTGAGTCGGGCAATTGCGATGCACTATTGTCGCGCCCAAAATATCTCCTGGAGATCATGAGGACCCACCAATGGCGCCAATGCATCGCTTTCGGTCCTGTCATAATCATCTCTTAACTCACAGTCCTACCCGAAATATTGTAGAGTCCGAGGCATGAACCTCACTTTCCCTTTTCCGCCCTCCAGATTTCCCATAAATGCGAAAAATGTGTGTCTAAGCTGCTCAACTGCTGATCCATTCTGAAAGAATGTCCATGGATAGTGGGTGCCTAAAGTACGTATGCAACACCCTTTAAGCCTCCAGGCAACATGTCATGCCAGTCCTCTTTGGCGACTAGAAACCAGACACCATCAGACGTTACGTAGGACCGGCTTATGTCAACAAGGTGTCAAGGGACATGAGCTCATCACGGGCATTGCAAAATACTATAAAATCTTCTACGATCTGAAAACCAGAATTGTGCAGACCATTGGAAATTTCGCCGACCGCAACCTTCATCGAAAAAACTTTATCCGCGTGCGCCCATGTTATTTCGCCCTCGAAACGGTAGGACTGGCGCCTCGCCTACCTGCAAGACGAGGCATGTGTCACTTGCCAGGCGGGAGAGAGATTTGAGGACGGGGACGCGAGAGGAGACAGAATCCAGCGCAGCAGCACCTGAAATGATCAAATCAACGAAATCTCCGAAAGAGCAGGCACATCGCAAGTTGTCAACAGGAGCTCGTCACATGAGAAAAGGAACCCAAGAAAGCATCTTCGATTTAGCAGTATTCCCAGCTCACTTCAATAGATAAAAGACTGATCATGACACGGGCAGGCTCAGGGAGGGAGAAAGAAGAGAGAGAGAATCAGAGAAAGATAGAAAGAAAGGACAGTGAGAGAGAGAGAGAGAGAGAGAGAGAGAGAGTGTACTGCGGTAATCTGATTCACGTCGAAGTACTTCTACCTTATTACTGCGCAGTGGAGGGAGCAGCCACCAGAACTGTGCACCATGTATGACAACTCCAGGCCTTGGGACCTGGGAGCAAGTGACAATGGTAAGTGCGTCTTGCTGTCCGCTGCAGGTTAGAGTGATGAGAGCACGTGAGAATGCACGCGACATGCATATGGGCAGAGTAATGATAGTATCGTTGTCTCCGTCTGGGAGGAGTCACGTGGTTTTCCCTTTCTACAAACCGAGCGAGTGCAGCCCTCGGGAGCCCTTCCTGCCCTTCCCTTCCCTTCCATTCCATTCCATTCCTTCCCTCCTTCCGTAAGGTCCTGTACTTTGAACTCCTCTCTCCATCCTTCGAGGTCAGAATCTCAGAAGAGAGCGATTCTGAACAATGTCGCACCTGCTGCCATTCCACTCCGGGGATTTCTGACTGGCGAATGTATCATAACGCCCACTACATCCTCCCTCATCGATGACCCGTGATGGTCTAGCCGTCGATCCTTCCTCCCGGGCAGAATTACGCCCTACTGCCTGGCCCTGCGGAAGGACGGAGCTCCAGACTCCAGCGCAGCTGGCAAGTCCGATATCATATCCTCCACTACAGTACTAGTACTCTGTACGTCCTCGACCATCGTCACACTTGGCACTGCAGCCGCTGCTCGCAGCTCGAGCGCGACCGTGGGACAAACAAATGCTCTCCTCTCCCTCTTTTCGTTCCAACGAGGCCAAGGACTGAAGGACTCCCGCACTCGCCTACAGAATATCTCGCGTCGATGAGGAAGGAGGGCATCCTGCGAGCATTGTTCACCTCCTCTCTCGTCGTCATGCATGCACAGTCTTGCCTAATACGAAGTCAACTGGGAGTGACTGCTAAGGTCTCTTAGATCTTCCCCACTCAGTGAAGATAGTGCGCTGGCGGAGATCTCTGCCTCACCAAGTTCAGCAGCAGCAGTAGCAGGAGATCCTCGTCCTCCGATCTTCCTCCAGTTTACAGAATGATTAAAGTAACAGGGAGGGATTATAATTTTATCTGTAGCTGCTGCCGCTGCTGCATTTGTCCTTGTTCAGCGACTTGCGGTTCAGACTGCGAGAGTACTTTAGATCATGCTCACTCATAAGACGCTGGGTGCTTAAAACTAATGTGTACTTTTTCGCGCTGTCGCGCTGGAGTGCTTTTCGACTGGTCCAGCGAAAAGAATTGGAGGAAAGTCGTCTGCCTAGACGGGGACGCGCAATAGAATGGACGTAGTGCCGATAGTCTAACAGCGCGCACTAGCCAACCTCGCACAGTTCGGTAAGGGCTTGACTCTGATCTTGGTCGCTCACTCGCTCGGCCTGGCGCTGCCTTCCGGCGCAAAAGTCTCCTTCGCACTCGTGCGCGGCGGATGATTAGGATGACTTCCAGAAGCAAAGGGGCTGGTTCCTAAACACACGGTCGCCGAAGGCGAAGTTGGTAACCGACAATGTACTGGCTCTACTCATGCTTTCGGGCTCCCCACAGCAGTTGCAGCGCTAGCCCAGCTGCACCAAATCTCCAGCGAAGAGGCGGGGACGGAATTACATGTAAATGGGAAGAGCTCCGAGGTGGAAGATTATGATCATGAGATCACCGCCGCCCCACAATAGGCTGCCTAGCTACACGACTATGCCTGGATGAGTCTCACCGCAAGTGTCAGAAGCTCAGATCTCTACACTGCTTTTTTCCAGGACCATCCCTTATCACAATTGCCGACAAGTTAGAATTGCGCAGGCATACCTTTTGGGGGCACCGGCGATCTGAAGCCTTAGCATGCGCCTGTTTTTGGCGCTTTCATGAATGGGAGCTAGTTTATGAACATAGAGCTTGTTGGCACAAAAGACCTCCGGACACGACTACGACGTCACAAGGCGCACTCACCCGCGACATCAATCGGGGGTAGTTACAGGACTTGTAGCCTGCGACTCTAGTCCGCTGCCATCGCCGGCAGGCTGGGCTGGTGATGGCACCAAAGCGAGCTTCGCGACGGGGTCTGTCTCTGGTACAGTCTGCCCTGTCTAAAGCTTTACAGTCGGGAGTAAAGTTCTTTAAATAGTTATTCATTATAAATGATCGAAGAGGTAAACACATACTCAAACGTCTATTTCAAACATTTAGAGTAATTCGTATAGTAGTGCTTTGACTTCTCAACAAATAGGGTCTAAATTTATTTTTGGAAGTGATTACGAAGTAATATAAACGAAAAGCATGGGATCGCCAAATTAATGATGGAACCAAGGGTCGTGAGAGGGGACTCGGAATTTGGAATTTATACTATTTCAAATGGTCATATACTAGCATCATCAGAGTCATCAACTTCCTGACTCCATCTAAATCCTGGACTCTGTATGGAACAGTATTCACATCAAATCTCCAAACCTGTGAATATAAGCAACCAAACTTAAGGATAACCAAGATTTGATGCATATATCTATATTTGGAGGTGAATTAAAACGCTCCATACTATAACTTTGGGTGATCCTCCGTCATCTCTTAGTTATTAGTTTTCGTGATAACAAACGCTGCCAACATTTCCCTGTTTACGTCTCCCACTGTGATTAGAATAGTTCATTTGGTTGATCTCTTTCACTAAACGATTCAGTATTTTAAAGTAATTCTTTATATGCGATCGAGCTCTAAGTTGATATGTAGTGAAAGTAACTTCTGTCCAAAGTTTAGAATTTAATTAAATTTCAGTGAGGCCCAAATTCAGATATTCAAACGGAGAAAAAATCTTTTCAAAAAGTAAAGGAAATCGCTCACCAGAAAAATAAACAATCATATAGAGATCAAAGTAACAAGAAACTGATTCAATTTCAGGAAATTATAAAACTTCGGCCAAGTAATATCCATAGGGCACTCTTAGTTACTCCCCATCGGAAGTAACTGCCAGACGGAGTGTAACCTCCTGTAAACACTTTCAGTGTTTAGACATTTTGCCAGGTAACACTTAGACAATGCAGACAGCACGGGCCACAAAGCAGCAGGGACAATGGGGGCATAGTAATCCACAACACTCGAAACTAGAGCTCTATCGCCAGCGCTGAGTGGAAGTCTGGGAGACTGGGACTGTGGGACACGATTACGAGTGCCGACACCATGCTAAGCGCATGCGGTCGAGTCGAGTAGAGAGGAACACAATCATCACAATGTGCAGTGCCTCCCTGTGTTCTCGAAAGGGGAGCCATACTACATCATTCCCAACACAATTAAAAATTCGAGGAGTCGACGAAGCTTAAGGAGCCAGATCATCATTCCAAGTGTCATTACGTGGGACATTATTCATAAGACGTGAGATGAAAAATCATCAGTATACACGAAAAGTATGACAGTATTCTATACTGTTGAATATCCGCACGCCTTGGTGGACAGAAGCAACAATTTCAAGGCTTCACTCATGATCGGCAGACGTGACGGGAAAGCGATCGGCTGATGGGAGTCCATTTCCTCACAGAACGCTGGACAGAGCACAATCAACCCAAATCGCCTGATCGACGGCATTTTAGACTCAGACCGTCGGCATCGCAAACTCATCAGCTGTGTCGCTTGAAATGTGGGACAATTTAGCGAATGCGTGGCCGAGATCCGGGTGTTGAAAGCGTAAGGGACAGGATCTCATCATGACATACTAGATGCGATTTTTCAACCGTTCTGACACAAGCACAATGGGTGCCCAAGTGGCAAGCTTAATCAAAGAGGCTCGGTAGCACTTGGCGATGACGATGTAGGAGACATACATGAGCGGACATGAAAAGTGGCTTCTTTCAAATAATCAAACATCCACCGATCGGTGAGAAGGGGCAAATTTCCAGAATTCAAGCAGGAACTGTGTCGATGGAAAGGCGCCATTGGCGATAGACAGACTTCGAAGTCACGTAGATTGATATCTACACATCGCGATAACAGCGAATCATATAGAAATAGTACCGCACTTTATTCTGCTCATTTTACGTTACAAGAAAACTAAGTAGAGAATTTTCTGAACACATACGATGCATAGACCTTAGTACATTTTCTATCGTCAACTATATGATGTAGCCCGCATGCAGGTTCGGATACATGCAAGTAATTTACAGGCGCCAGTGATCAAGATCACGACGTGCAGACAATGATGGCGTTAGCCTCGACGTCCGTTTCTCAATATCTAACAAGGGAAGGGTCAATAGACAGCTCGAACATCATGTAGAGAAACGCCGCTCCACGTCCAGAAATGTTTCGGTGGTTATGGGTATCGGTGTTCTCGTTTGAGAGTCCGAGAGCACCTTCGGTCTGAATATAGAGGGTTCAGAAGGGATGGACAGCAGCAATTCGACCTCCAGAGGCAGGAACGATCGATCGCCTTCTCCAAGACCTTTGTCCTAATCGCGTACGGTTACGTAACTATATATGCCAAAAATTTGTAGTGTCACAGATAGCCAATTTCCCAAATCCCCAATTCCCCGACGAAGGATCCGAATCTCAATCGGCCTTTGAAATGTTTGATGGTAACTTGTTTCACGTGAAAATGGCTTCGACAACAATCGTACTCGAAATCAGAATCCTTCAATTTAGTGGGGTGGGTCGGTGATGGGGTTGTTGGGTCCGTCGTTCTTGTAGTCGATGGTAGCCACCAGGAGACGCTTCTCGAAGCACGTCCCCATCTCCGTGCACACAACTTCCTCAGTCTCCTCGTTCTTCTCAGACTCACTTTGATTGTCTGACTCGGGCTTCAATTGTACTTCCTGTTCCGCTTTCTGTTTTCCAAATACGAGCGTCATGGTCAGATACTGCACTGGGAAAGCCTCGGAACCAATCAGATTCTCTAACTGCCAAAATCTGAACAAGTCAATGCATGCCCGCAATGTCCATTCATCACGTGGTGCGCTGCAGAATCAGTTGCAATGGCAGTCATGATCACTGCCAGCTAGGTACGCGCACTGTCGTACGTGAACAGGAATTTTATCAAGACCGCGAATCACGTGAGAATTTGACTCCGCCAGCTTGTGGCTTGTGATCCCACCTTGGGTTCGTGTTCCGCGATGTGTTCGACTTCGTCTTTGTCTACATCGGATACCTCCACTCGATGCTGAACACTCTCCTCTTTGCTCATAGAGGCTTCTGACGTTTGCATTTCGGTGAGAATGCTGCGGCCTGCGGACGGAGAAGAAAAATTGAGTCTGACTGCATATTCTGTAGAGGTTTGATGGGCCCGACGAACAGCATTTCGCATTCAATTTTGCACACTGCCAGGGACCTGATACGATGCTAAAGGATCTAGAGAAATAATAAGTTAAAATGACACACAGCTCGAAGTACAGGACATCCGAGAGCTGCTCCTGTTATCCACCACTTCAGTATGGGGCCGAATGTATGCTAGTCGAGCTCTGAGCTGTACATGAGAAAGAGTTGGGGACTCGGTGGAGTCAAGCTGACCCCGATCGACTAGTTCACGCTCCTAGCGAATTTTCATCCGGAAAATCTAATGCCTGGAAAATCTGATAGTAGTAGAATAGAGGCATTAGCGAAAGCAGAAGAAAAGCACCTGGGCGGGCATGCGCAAAATGTGCGCACAGAGTGAGCGCCGTGCAGACAATCAGGAGGCAATATGCCATCCTCATCGTTGATATCGTTCGCGAGGTACGTAGCTGCGAAAGAAAATCGTAGCCGATGAATCTCCGCGGTGCTAAATTCCTGCTTGAGCGAAGTTCAAACTGTAGACTCGAAGCAGCCGGAACAGTCCGCGGGCAGATTGGGAATAAGAAGTCGTCGTCGTCGTGCAGAGGGAAGTCAGCTCTTCTGAGATCCGAACTGATTTCGCCTATTTGCTGCAAACGGCGAGCCGCACTTGTCTCGCTTTCTCGTGTCACGAAAGAAAGAACGGTGAGGTGAGCCGCTGGGTAGAGGTGAGTTAATCGGACGGACGGCCGGAGAAGTTGTGTTTTGTCTGCTGCTGTCAAAAGCACGGCTTTAAGCATACGAACAAACAAGCAAAGGAGACTTGAGAGGAAGAGGCGACGGGCCGAGGGGCCGAGGGAGACCTCAGAGAGACCTGAAGTGTTGCCGAGGGGCGCTCAAGGGAGGGAGGGAGGGAGGGAAGGAAGGGAGCGAGACCGAGTTTGGCTTTTTCTCACTCCAGGCCTTTCTCTCTCTTGGACGCAGGGAGGATGATGCTGCTGCTGCTGTTGCGACTGCCGCTGCTTGTTGCAAAGCCGAGGTTGTCATGATTGGTAGCTGACGCCCCGGCTGATTTATATACTCCAGCCGGCCCCGCCCCCACCCCGCCTCGCCCGGCCGCTAGACATTCCCGGCCGCCGGGGATCGCTGGACCCCAAGGGTGTTGGCGCCGTCTCCCCTCCTCGCTTGCTTCCGACAAACGGCTGCCTCTTTCCAAGATAACGGAAGCGAAGGCAGGAACGAAAGGAAAACGCCAACGATCGCGAGGGAAAGCGACGGAAAGTAATGCGGAGGGACGGCTTACCCGAGGTAGGAATTGGCAGACTTTATTTTGTTTAGGCCGGAGTAATGGTTGGATAAGTACAGTAGAGCGGGCGGGCAGGCAGCCGGGTTGGGCTTGCAAGTTGGGCAGATCCACAATTTTGTTGGGAGTGGGCGATTGTGGGGACTTCTGCCGAGGCCCCGACACTAGCAGGTGACTTCGGACGAGAATTTTATCTGAATTTCCCCTCATTCTTTTTTAGTGCATCCTGTGCTGTGCCCGAGGATGAGCGTGAACACCAACGGACAGAGGCCACATCGTGTTCGGGCAGAACGGCGTCAACCACGCCAAGGTATGGGTTCAGCCACGTCTTCGGCAGTAAAAATACTGTGAGTATGCTCACACTTCTGTCACTGCTACCGGTGGCCGGTGACTGGCTCTACGGTACCAACCGTTGACTCTGGACATTTCACGGCCTTTAAGGCGCTCACTGTCAGCTCCTCTGCGTGACATCACTTTCCGTTCTAATTAGAGCGGGCTATGTTCGGTCCAGCCTTCTCAATTATTTTCCTAGTCAAATAAGGTATTTGTACACTGTCCACATGGTGTCAGGTGTATGGATACTCGTCAGTACGAAACAGTACCGTGCTATGTAACAGTCCACCCTGAGTGCATTTTTCATGATATTCATGCTCAGTCGATGAGTACACTTGTAAATTGTGCCTTTTTCTTCCAACTGTCCAATCCTATAATAGGTATTCAACTCACCTTATGCATACAGTCAGTTGCTTCGGTGGCTCTTGAACTGTTTATTCCGATCTCACACTCGTCCTTGAAAGTATTACAAATCCGATCTTCTCTATGTAGGAAGGGCTAATATAATCACTCACTTTTCTTATCAAAGCAAAAAAACATTTATTCCCATCCTCACACATCTTAGACCATTTCTGAATAACCAGAAAAAGGTATGTGTGTTCTTAGAACAATAATGTTAACTTCTAATCTAATTGGTCACTCATTTGGGAGAGTACCAGGCTGAGTCACGACATTTCCTTAGTGACATCCAGTATCCGGGAATTCGTCATCATCATATCGTGAGATAAAGTTCGGAATATAATTGAAATGTGTGGAACTTCATATTCTGATGGTGAACTCTAAGTTATAAATCCAGGAGTTTTACGGGATCAACCATCATTAAATTCTTTGAAAAGGTTTCAATTTAAAATTTTATTCCATGATGGACGATGAAAAGGTCATTTCTTTTTTTGCAAAATGTGGCAATAACAGTTGAGTTTATTACTAAGAATTGATAATATTAAGATTAACACGCAGATATGTTATTATTTGACTATTCAAACACAACTTAATACTGCAATACATATTTTAAACATACAAGTCAGAAAAGAATGTCTATAATCCACAAATCGTTTGAAATCCGAAATGGAAGATATGCGCATATGTAAAGAATAACATAAAATTATGGTCGATCAGGATTTGATAACTTGATTAGGCACCTCTGCCCGTAAAGTGTCTGCATGAAGTCTTCTTAAAATTTCACATGTGTCAACAAGTAGTGTGCTAATGACTTCATATACTAGTATATGGATACATAGAAAACTCAAGTCGCACTGAACTTTCTTAGAGTACATAACTGCTAACGTAAGTCGGCTCGCTTTATTTTAGTGTTGATTGCTTGAATCTAAGTATTCTGTAGTAAACTTAGTCAGTATTTGTTTCTAGCTATATTCAGGTTAATCTGTTCTGCGTCATGTTAACTAAGCACATGTAAATCCATAAATTCGATTCACTTACAAATTTTCCTTGATAAAACTTCTTCTTATACAGTATACAGATCATATGGGCTTTTACGTAAATATATAATATCAGCTCATGCGTTTCATATCAAGCTACACCATATTGTATACTACTAAGTCAATGCATTCGAGTTAAGTTTTCAGACAATACTGATTTCCTGATATAAAATAAAACCTCACCAGAGGTCAAATCACATCAACGCAGTAAATATTCAACATCGTTAAGCGCATTTCAGAGACAACCACATATTCTAAATTTGAATTAATTGAGATGATTAGAAGTTCAGGACTTACAACACTTTGCAACAGGGTGTAAAATTCCTATACTGAAAAGTAAGATAAAACGAAGTGACCTTCGAGGCTTACACAATAATATGAACGGAGAATCATCGGATTCATTTGACCTCTTACCACCTAAAACCGGGCATTTGATTAAAGTTCACTATCAATACCTCATCGCTTGTAACCTATGAATTTCATGTAGTGTATGTCTAAGGTAGTATGACCACTATTGCTATGAATAAAAGACCAGCACGTTTATAAGACAAGCGTTTGTGTTGAATTCACGTAAATGTTGGGACAAGTTCGTCTGCCACAAGCATTCAATCGATCGAGAGACAGCCCAGTTTTTTGAAATCAGACAAAGCAATCCATGTGTAAATGAAGACTAAGATATATCAACTTATGAAGACATAACGACACATGGGCTGATACCCCAATCGTAACATAATTTTCAGTCTGAGGTTGCTGCTTGAGATGAGTGAAACTATAGATTACACAAAAGTAAAAAGAAGGATCCTAAGCAACTTTTCAAGTTTCTAGTTTTATCTGCAAAGATACGATTCTCTTGAATTTTAACCTCGAAAGTGGAAGTCCTCACTTTCAAAAGTTTAAAACCATATATAAAAATATTGAATCAGTTTTTCATATTTCTCTAACTAGAGGAAAATAGAGCCAAGTTAAGAAAAGAAAAAGACTGGATAAGAAAATATCCAGCCAATTTGTAGTGTTTTTTTAAAAATAATTCAAAAGTCCTTAATTTTTTTAAAAAAATAATATTGCACTCTGCAGGTTCTCTAGTGTTCAAGATTGTACGTAATGCGTTCAAGACGTTACTTACAGAACGAAACTTAAACACCGAAGAGAATCGTTCCTTCATTTCCATGTTTGGCAAAAGACACGCATACAACAATTATATAAAAAAAATTTCCGATCTTATTTACTATACTCTATTTGTCTCGTTCCAGTCATGGTGCACTTATCACAAATCAATCTTTTTTACAGACGATTCAAATAAAATCCAAATTTTTTTTTGCACATAAAATATTTCATAATTTCATATATATAAAATGTAAGGCTGAAAGGATGATTTCTCACAATATAGAGGTAAAAATTTACTTCAGTATTAGGACAAGTGTGAAATTTTTACATGACATTACGTACAATTTACAAGAATTATGAATATTAGCTTTTTTCACAATAATTTTATATTCGATTTATGAACATTTTGAAACAAATCACTTCATAGATCTTGGATATCAACAAGAATGATCAGATTTCTCACATGTTTGTACAAACTTTCACAACTCAATGACATTCTAAATTTTTAAGATGAATGTCAATAACAACAATGGTAGTCCATCAAAGGCACATCCTTAAAAATTATGGTGGTACAGATGGTATCGACTCGAAGACGTTGATATCCGATGTTTTACTTCACTGTAACATTCTGGAAGTACGCCTACGAGATAAACACTTCATAGGTGTAGACTAAATAATCTGCAGTACCCACACGTACTAATACCCCCTAAAAATCTAAATAGTGACTAAACTGATTCATCTGCTGTAGTGATAAGACATAAATAATATCTTTCTGTGTAGTACTTGAGCCTGAGGGCTGGATTCCGACCTGCAGTAACAGATTGCTACAGCTAAACAGATATCTAACTGTCATTCATGAGATTTTCTTGAGAGAGAAACAGCCTTCAAATCTTTTCTGATGACATCACTCTTCCTCGCTGATATTATAACAATTTCTGTGTACTGGAGTATACCCTAAACCCACCAAGCTGGATACGAGATATCGACTTGTAGAACAATGTGTATATAAGTAAGTATAAACTATGTAGTTTGGCAAGTCCAGCGAAATCTACTTTGACGTGGTATCTACATTGTCTTTCTATCGATGACATCACCATCATGTCATCATTCTACACTGATGGTGTTGGAGAATGTTCCGGAGTTACAACATACTGTACTGTACTGAGTAGTTCCGAGTGCGAAAGTTTGGATTAAGCAAATGCGGTGAGAAAAAATATGGCAATCTCTGAGTTTCCATTGCGCTTGAACCACTGAAATGACTCAGTAGCAAAATTGCAAGAGGACATGGTACGCGTCAAGACCCAAAGATGATGGAGCTAAGATATTTCTATTAAACTCTTGAGGCACCCACCACCTGCATGTTGATACGAAAAAGGAAAAAAAGAAAAAGGTGCGATGGACAAATGAACTCCAAACTTTGGTTGCATGAATCATCTCCACCCGACTCTACCATTGACGACGACTAAGCATCACGGCATCTTCTAGTTCAGATTTCATGTGCTCATGTTCGAAATCCTCTGCAGTGCAGTTGTGCGGCAACTTGCCTGCAGAAGAATCAATCTTCGCCAGGACATGATACTCGTCCGACTACGAGGAATCATTTGCAGAGAGAGTCTGATAAGTGGGTTTGGAACGGAAGATTATCGATCAGAAGCACTCATATAGTCACATAAGTTGGATCAGAAGAGAGTTGGTACGCTTAAAATCGGACCACTGAGGACACGGAGCTGCAGGTAGAGCCGAGCCTGCATTTTCAGCAGGTGGTGGTGGTAGCAGTAGTGTTCCAGGACCTCAAGAAGCGCAGACTCTCAGAGCGCCATGATCCCTCATGTGAAAAGGAGGAGATAAGAACATGGGAGTTCTAGATTGGTACATGCGCTCTGTGTCTGTCTGCTCGGCATGAAGTTTCTCTTTGGGGTTGTTGGCGTTGCTGGCTCTTTCCCTCTACATCTGTAGGTGTGGTTTCTGCAACTCTAGCGTCCATAGTTTATCTCGCCCTACATCGTCGTACACTGGGGATGTGGCCCTTAACACTCACTTGTTGTGTGCTCTGGAGTTCCCAAAACCTCTCCAAGCAGACGACGCCATGTGTAAAGCGGAAAGCGTTCTGCGAGGAACAAGCGTACGTCTAGGCGATAAAGGAAGAGAGAGGAAATGGGGACTGATGTCGAAAGCATGACAGAAATGAGAGTGGTGTTTGGAGACCCCGAACCCTAAACGCGACCAATAGCCCAAGCCCAGGAAGGAATAATAGAAGCATCATGGTCGTCACGGCGAATGTTGCGATGCGATAAGATGGGATGCGATGCGATGCGATGTTCGTCGAAGAAAATCGGCGAAGACAGGAAGCTTTAATTCGGGGGCTATGGCAATCATTGCACGCCCAAGGGAGCCACGAGAAATTCACTTTCACCTGAAATGCGGAGCGCGGGGTAAATTTCAGAGGGCCGGGTGGGTTTGACCCGGCCAGATGGCAACAGTGCCGGACGTCGTCGTCGTCTTCGTCGTCGGCGTAGGCGGGCGCTGAGCTGAGGGCCTGAGGCGCTGGGACCCGTGCGCTGATGATTGAGGGAGAGGGACCCGAAAGTCGATCGTTCGTTGATGTTTGATGAACGGTTTTGGGAACATGTGGACACACGTGTGCACCGCTTCTTCCTCCAGACACTTCCCGGGAGCTTTTCAGGTACCGTACTCGCCTCTCCCTCCCTCCCTCTCTCTCTCTCACTCTCTCTCCGCTGCGGCCTTTTCGGATGTCCTCTCGTCTCCAGCCTCTCCCGGCGCTCCCCCTAAAGCACGCTCCGCTTTGAAACTCGGAAAATAGGGTAATCGAGGCTTATTGTATTGGACATGTCCGCCCTCTCACTCCCTCGTCGAGCGGCCAATGGCTCGGCGACTATATGGCCCTTACAAGATTTCAGCTTTTCTCCTCCACCGTCGTAGCAAGGACCGGATTTCTCGACGAATGGGAACCGGAGTTTCTGGTGATTTTTGTCTTTTCATGTCAGACGCATGCTCTTTAGTTTCGCAGGGTTTTACTTTCTGCCACTTGACGTAACTTCGCTGCCATTCTGGGCGGTTGGCGCGGAAGCTCGCTTTGTTTGTGGTGAGTCTGGAGGCTACGCGAGTGCGACCGGTTGCCATCTTTGCTCTCATGCCCTTGATACTCGAGAAGTCTCTACGCAATTCCCGACGCACCAGGACCCGGTTGCATTCGAAGTTTGTGAACAGTCCATCGTATCACATAGAAGCGACGATTTCAACATGTTTTGCAGCTCTTTGTTACCAGTGAAATATGAAAAGGGCTGGCACGTCGCAACAGTTCATCTATTTTGTCTTACGACCAATCTTTTTCCCTTTGCTAAAAGAACGAGACCAGAAACGGTGGAATTAGACCGGAAATGTGAGAAAGTAGACTTTTTTTTTCTAGTCTCCGTTATCATATGTGTCTCCTCTTCCCGTTTCTGTACTTCTGCTCCCCTGCTTTACAGAACATACCCCCCTCAGCCATTAAGGCGCTCCTCCAATCTTCCTTTTCCGATGTTCATAAAGCCAATTCACTCTGCCGAATAGAAACAGAAGTAATACTTGGTTTCTTCATTCTGGTTAAACATGACATTCCGGGACGAGCAATAGGAATCTGCTAGGTAAGATTTTACCATCCCTTTACCTCGAAGTGAAAGATGTTTTTGAACTCCAGAGCCCTGGAGAAATGAGCAAGGAGACTAAATATGGCTGTCGACGCAAGCCATCATTTCAGCTATTTTAACCTTGGCTTCTCTCCCAGAAAAGTTTCTTGAATCCCTCGCCCAGGAGGAATGGAGAGCTGTGGCTTTTGAAGTAATCTGCTGTAAGAATCTCCTCAGAGTCCCTCGCCCAGGAGAAATGGAAACTAGCCCTAGGTCACAACGATAGCATCTGAAAAGGATATGTTCTCACTTCAGCTTTTTTCTGTTGCCTCCATTTGCTGATGAACAGTAAAGTCTGTGTATCGGGATTTCCATGTTTTATAGGCCTTTGACGCAATGCTTGCAGGGATGACCTTCAGATCACCTTGTATCCGAAGCCCATCTCTCAGCGGCTCCAGCCGCTCACCTTACGTTTTCTTCCCTGCTATGTGGATGCTTTCATTCATTGATGGATAAGCAACATGGAATTTTAAGTTCCGGTTCTGCATGGCTCTCATCAATTCATCCTAGCATGTACACAATGATTGGGAAAGGTGAGCTACAGCTCCGACTTGCTGATTCTAGAAGGGAAAGGTTTAATTAGATCAGAAGAGCGATCCAAAATCCGCGGCGGTGGGGCTCACTGTTCAGGTTTGGGACCTTGGTGGAGTTTCTGCGAAGAAATTAGTTCAACTACTACGCAACTTGAATTCTCCACCATAGCTTGATCCGTAGTCCTGTTGACGAAATTCTTGTGGTCGTCATCCCTGTTCACCGCCAATGTAGACAGCAGAAGGTAGCCCGTGAATTTACATGCTCCTGTGCATGTGTGAACCAGTGTGCATCCCCACTGGTTCAGAGGTTGAGGAGAGGCGCACAGGTGGAGAGGATGTACAAGCTAAAAGGCTTGCAGGAAGACAGAGGAAGACAATAGAATCTCTTTGAGAGGTGAATACTCGAATGCGTGTTGAGAGGTTGAGTAGCCTGGAGCTAGCGTTGCATGAGTTTGTCGATACCGTCTTTTCGATGAGCTTGCAACATGGTGTTAGATCCTAGATCTATCGCTACTTCTGTCGAACCTTGGCCAACGCACTGGAGGTTGCTCACCAAAATCCCTATCCATCTAAAGCTGCGCTTAGAGTTGCACATTGGAATTGGATCTGGTGATGCGACTGATCCGAGAGAGCGGTTTCTGTTGTGATTGTTCTATATTAGCCGGAAAGTAACAAGATCCACTTGAAGCTTGAAACCTTGTAGTTTCCGTACTTGGTTTGTGAGTAGATGGACGAGTTGAACGGTAGGATAGGTTGTCCGCGCTGCTCGTTTGCGCGTGCCTGCAACACCTTTTTTTATAAGCTGTTCACCGAAATGTCTATACTTGTAGTCAAAATTGGAGCCTCCTTACTTCCTGCTGTTCTTGTAGATTAAAGCAAAGCTCCTTAATGTTTCATGCATATGTGTACTATGGTCCCCGAAAAGACTACGCGGGTTTTGTAGCCTAGTGGATCCGCTTCTACATCTAATTGAAACCCAGTTGCAGACAGATTTTATCGGGATACTTCTTCCGGCCGACGGATTGGCCAAGTAGAAGGGCATGATAGCAGTCTTTATCATATCAATAAATTTGCACACATCCTTTCGGGACAGTTCTGTCCATTGGATGCTATCTGAAAAATTATTTTGAGGTAGGGGAAGAACTTTGCGTTGAAGCCTCTCGAAGGTAGGGAGTGCACAGAAAGACATACATGTATTTGCTCTTCCACTGAACTCTTTGCACGATCTTGATTACTATAGAACTTAAGTACAGTTCATTCACCTAGATGATCGAAGGCTACGATTCTTCACAAAAGGATAGAAATTGACGACTACCCTACATGGCAAGCTAAAGCTCTGCTCTCTTTATCAAAACTGGAGATTAGATTGAGGACCAATGTCTTTATTCAATCATGTAACCGCCACAAATTTCAGCGACCCTCACTTCTGACACCTCGTGCTGCTCTTCCTCCGAGGGAGGTTTTGGTGAAGAAAAGAAGTTTCCATACTTGGCAGTGCAGTACTGTCAAGTAAAAAGAAACGAATCACCGCCCTTCCTCGAGCCGAATAGATACTTTTGATGGGAAAAAAATTGCTAAACTAGGCAAGTCACGGCAAGAAAAGCGCATTATCACTGTTACTCTAGCTCTATGAATCCAGACAGAGTTGTGGGGAATGGGACTGTTCAAGCCAACCACGTCCAGAGCCCAGGCTCTCATTGGCCATATGAAGAAATTGACTTCAGTACAAGGCTGGATTTCTTTCTGCCCATAATTCAAGAACAAGTGCATACAATCATGACCATAGTCAGCTACTCAGTAGTCAGTACTTAGTATGGGCACTGTAGATGTGGGCCTACTGCGTAGCGCGAAAATTGGTGGGCTATCTACCTGGCTATCCCATCTACAAACTTGCCGTCAAACTCTTAACAATTGACCGCAACTTTGTCCGCATTGGAGCCTCATCAAAGAATTCACTTTTCACATATTTGGTTCAGATCCAGCTACCAATTGCAACTATGGCAGAAGTGATCCCGACTTATTTACATCGCCTGCACAAAGAATCGTGGTGTTAGATAATCAGGTAGCTTCCTTTGGCCCCAAGGCCAGTCCAGGCTTGCAATCTAGATCTATCAAAGCAGGCCTTTTCAGAGGAGTTGGGAAGCTGCATTGGTTTCCAGTTTTGGCTCTTCTCTCAGGCTTACAAAGGAGGCGGAATGGGCAATGCCAACGTTGGACTCTAGTGAATGGATCGGAGCGGGGCCTGCTGAATGTGGAGATTCAATTGTGTCCAGGGCTATCTGGCCACACCACATTTTTGGCCCCCAAACAGTTTGTGGTCATGGGTCTGGATTAGTTCGAGGCCTTGATTTGACAACACCTTTCAGCAAGATAAAACTTGGGAAAAGTTTTAAAAAATCTGAGCACTTTTCACGCAATGTTGGGCCGGTTGGCAGGACGCTCAGCCTGAAGTACACCTGTCTGCCTGGGGGCTTCTCAAGATGAACCCACTACTGCTCTACCCGAGTTCGACAGACGCAGTCTGTCAAAATATACTAAGATGGAATGGGTTTCAAAAAAGATCTCACTTTCTATTTTTTCAACTTCAGTGGGATTGTATTACTCGTACTCTCAAGTACAACTCTGCAGAAAATTACAAGCACAAGATTCTAACCTAAGGTACGTTCCCATCAACTATTCACATCGTGTCAGAACATCGATGTGAACTCTCTAGCTTTGAGGATAGTTTTATGTTGCTCTCGGCGTTAACTTCGGTAACACCATTTTGAAGGGTGAGTCTCGTCCACGGAAATCCGCCAGAGCTCTCAGTCGTGCATAACCAGTCATGGATATAATAGTCTCCCGCCTAAATTACCTATATGACCTAAATTTTAGTCTCCTCGTAAAACTTACTTTAGTCTTTTCAAATAACATTAATTTAGGCGAATTTAGTCTCCTTACAAAGTTCATTTAGGTTAATTTAGTACACTAAAAAGGTAATTTAGATCAATTTAATTTATAAAAATTTAATTTAGGCTAATTTAGTTTACTAAACTTTTTTTTCAGAGTAAAAATTTTACAAATTTTTTTTCTAAAAAAATTACATTAATGTATAATTTTTTCTTTAAAAATCCATCAATTCTACTTAAGTGTCCACTCTCCATTGTTTATAACATGTACACTATCCATTGTTTATAACATGTACACGCCAAATCGTAACTCCCTTAATTTAATTTAGTCGCCTAATCACCATCAAGTTTAGGTAATTTAGGCGACCATATATAAGGTCGTCTAATACAACCATGCCTGTGCATAACTGTAGATGAGAGTGACGAGGTCTTGCGAGATAACTGGAGGGGCTAAACTCGTAGAGAGGCTTTCTCCACTTTCCATGCAAGTTTTGGCAGAACTGTCATTTGCAACTGTATATAATCATGACCAAGGCCAGGAAAGTCTGTAGTTACAACTGTAGTGTTCAAAGAGTGGGCCTGAGGTTGAAGACTTACGACAACCAACCAGTCTACATAGATTTTGTTACAGTCGAAGTTGGGAGGAGGCTAGAGTCCAGTTTTCACGCAGTATTGGCACAAGTCTGTCATATGTGTTCTTGCAACTGTAGGATAGTGATAACCATAGTGAGGAATGCAATTTGTATGAGTCTGTAGCTGCGGATGGGTTGAAGGGTTATAAGCAGAGCTACGTCATGTGCACCAATTTTGAGAATTGGGGCCAAGTTAAAGAGGAGGTTTCCCTTTTCCACGCAATCACCCGTATGCTATGTTTGCAACTGTAGACAATCATCATCATGGAGGAAAAGCTGATTTTGTTAGTTGAGCATTGTAGCTGTGACTCAGTCTGGTTGCCTGACATCTGATGTCAAATCTCGAGGGTCAAATTCCAGAAAGCTTTGTTCAAGATAAACTTTCCTCTTTGGGCAACATAACAGGACAATCATAACCATGCAAAAGAAGCTTATTGTAGCTCTTCGGGAGCCCTTCTTGGGTTCTGTAGAAAGAACTGTTCACTGGATTTTATAACTGGCTCGAAGAGCGTCTCCGTCTGATTGCAGCTTCACACCAACCATAACGTTCAGAACTAAGCGCTACTCTGTGAAGGTACCAACATGGACTCACTTTACCTGTGATGTAGTTCCCTACATTCCTGCCTTTCTGAACAACTTGCGTGATATCTTCCCATCCTACAAGTTGACAGTAGTTCTGTATCCTCGATGACGGTGTATTGTAGAGCAACAAAAACATTCACATCTCATGCATGACGGATCAAATTCTCAAGAAATTCGTGTCAATCATTCACGGCATAGATAAAGCATTTTATACGAGTGAATGACACTGAACCTATCTGTAGAACAGACCTAAAAATATTTTGAGAGTGACCGGTCAACTGTGTCATCGTGTCCTCGCCCTTCACCAACAAAGAGGGAGGTGTCTAGACTCTGTAAGATCTCTGAGAAGAATTGCGAACTGTACTTGTAGACATGGATGAAAGTTTTCTCTGGAAAGATTGGACATTATCCCCTTTGAAGTCAAGCTCTTACTCCTACGTGGACTCATATTGACAACCAAGGGATGAGCTTGTATGATTGACTGACATTTAAGAACGAGCAACAGAGGAGGTGGGGAATTTTACGTTCCTTTACCCACTCTCGAAGCTTGGCAGTACGTGCAAAACTGATAGCGACTGTTGTATAGACATCTGTAGAGATACGACTGATATTTATGACCAAGGGAGGAGATGAGCGTTATTTGGGTCAGGTACAACCTGAGCTTGCAACTGTAGCTCTAGTGGATGATTGGAGTATCATGGGAATGTACGAAAGCTCCAGTGTAGATTTTTTCCGTCTCCAAGTCAGGCTCCTACTGCTTAGTACGTAGCGCATGTGCTGTCATCGATCCAATTCCTTCACATACTTCACATCGTTCGTAGCTTTCTCATCCGGGCAATACAAGCCAGCTAGCCGACAGAGGCAGGTTACAATCTGCTCAGTCCAACCAGTTGCATAGGACCAGTCTAATTGACGAACCCTTTTTCGTCGTGAAATTTGGTGGAAGACATATACTTAAGTCTGGGCCTTGCCCTCCAGCCAATTTTTGTAAGAGATCAGACTCGTCCATACACTAGTAGCATTAGGCACATTAGGCTCCAGCGGTCCACTGATATGTAAGCCAAAATCATCTGGCAAGATTATATCTTGATCCTTCAGTTCATGACAAATGACAAGTTCCCTCAGACAGTATCATCATTCTAATTCTACTGTAATGAAACTCTGCTCAGCTAGCTAGCCTGCTATTCTAAATGCAGCAGGCTACTAGCTATTTGTTTCCTGCGAGAGGGTTGGATGAGGTGGACACTTGGATTTATCATCCGCTCCCACCGACAGAAAATCAAAACCTTTGCACTTTGCAGTGCAACCTAAAGCTTACAGTTAACTTGCCCAAACCTCAAGGATGGCCATAATTATGTCGTGCCTTTAAACGACGCAAACTGCCAAATGCTCAGTGCACATGGTGCAGTAGACAAGAGTATGCAAGAGAGGTCTGGATCTCTGATTTGGTACAAAACCGGTGGGTTTGTACTTTAGGCTACAAGACACGTAGGCGTTTGGAATGCACTCCGGCTCTAGAATTTACTTCGGTTCTCTACCGACGTCTAAGAAGTGGGACTTGGAATGGAGAAGCCTTGAGTCGAAGAAGGTGACGCCTGGAACAGTTGGGGCAAATCTAGCGAAGACATGAGAAGTTTTCAAGTGAGATACAGATTTCGGTAGACAAGTGGGCGCTGGAAACTGAAATAAGAATATGGTGATGGGGAAGTATCATCCGTTGAGGCTTTGGCGTCCACATGGACGAGTGCAGAACGGTCTGGGAAATTAAGAACGAGAGTCTTGAGAGAGTGGAATGGCATGGTACCAGATGCAATACCACTGCAGAGGAGAAACTCATTCATACTAGTGAGACATATTGGTTCAAAAGTTGGAGGCCTTCCTCCGGGTTTGGATCCTCGAGAAAATTACACAATTTAACCCTTTTGAAATCATACAAGGCGTCTGCACACTACATACGGCCGGAGAGTCCACAGAAAAAGGCAAAATATCAAAGACCTTTTAATAGAAATGATTAGTGCGGAGACGGGAAATCGGAAAGAAGGTCCTGCTACATATTGACACGTCTTACTTGTCCTTCGGGAGTACTTCGAGGAGATAGAGACGCTGCAAAAGCTTACAAGAAAGGAAAGGCGAAGGAAGCAAGAAGAGAGAAAGAGAGGGACGGTCGGGTCGGCCATGGCAGGGGTAGCAAAAGTTAAACTAACCTTCTCTGCACGAGTTCACTGTCGTTTCGATCACTTCGAGATCCCGTAGAGAATCACGATTTCAAAAGCCGAACTTGGGTACAATTCGACCTTGTACATCCTTGAAAATACTGGACAGGTTTTCGTCATAAGGGTCGCTAGCCAGGAGAGAGAACCGGTGGGGTCCGGAGGTTTCCTTCACTTTCCAAGGTCTCTCATCATCATCATCATCCAGTCTACATTTCTCGAAAATTGTACCTGAGACTCAGACACCGGAGACACTCAGGCTTTCTAAACAGCTATGTTTGAGTCATGAATGAAAGTTGACCATTAATCAACACCTAAGCGTCTATTTTTTAAAAGAAAATACGAATTCAGACTAGTACTGATAATCACCCTGTCATTCGCACTAAGCAGAGTGAAAGAGCAAGAAATTGCTGGATTTACGTGCAGCGAGACGTCATGATCAACATGTAGCTCCTTCTAGCAACCAGCAACGTGGATGTAGTAAATAAGTAAATCATAAGTAACACCTAGTTACTTCAATGCTTTAACAAGTGAATCAAGTTAATTTTTGCTGGGGTGGGGCCGACATTAGGTGTACAGAGGGTCACTCCTGGCAACACACTGCCAGAAAGCTTCTGAGAAGTCAAGAAAAGTTTGACGGCTTTCTTTTCAGGCATATCATGCTACTGGAACAGGAGTAGATTTCTAGTTGTGTCGTTTTGTGTCTCACGTTCTGAAGCTCCAGATCGACCGCAGGTGATCTTCCAGTCTTTTGAAATCTTTTCAAGAACAACTCATGCTTGCTTCTGGTATAGGTAGAAGAGGAATGGGTGATGGACCTAAGTAGGGGTCAACTTAGTCAAGCAAGAGGTCAATGACATCGTGATAGACACACATAAATTATTTCAAGCCTGCGACTAATGGTTGGACTACTAGCACTTCCCATGATACGAAGGCCTTCATTTGTGCCTCAACAGCACAAGCTGTACCCAGCTTGTGCACCTGTAAAGCCTTAACACTCATCAGTGGCCTTCCTAATCAAAGGCTGTCGATATTGTAAAATTTAGAGAACCTCCATTGATCCAATTTCTGTCATCCAGCAAGAAACGGGGTTGTGAATTCTAGACTGTAATGGGTTTCGAATTGTCGGTGACACAATCTCAGACACAGGACTGATTCACACCCATTAGCATTGTGAAATAGTTTGTTTCAGACTCCTGTGCTCCATGTAGATAACAGGACGCATCTGGTCCTGGTGCTAAAGTATGTCGCCTGGCATTTGGAGGAACATGATAGCCGGATAGATCTACTCACATTATTAAGTGGTATGCATGTCTCACGATGCGTCCTCGAGTTCATCGTGATCGCCTAAAGTCTGTTAAAAGTTCCAGTTTTGTAGGCCATGGCAGCTGAGAATCGATTTGGATGGGATAAAATCTACATCCAGAGGCATCAATCAAGTAAGGGAATGCCCGGCGTCCAGATGGAACGAAATCTGAGGGCATGATGGATTGACGCACAAAAGACATGTACTTTTGGTCGAAGAATTTCACTGCCGACTTGTCCATCATACCAGTGACATCTGATCTCCTAAAAAAGGAAGACGATTCGCAACTCTGTACTTCAAAAGCCTATCAGACACATCTTCATGCTGTCTACAAATGTGTCGTAGGGGTCCATAAATCTACCGAGGACCCGGTCCCCGATTTCTGAAGCAACTCGAGAGGTTCCTCAGCTTTCCGTGCATCGGCCGTGGCTGATTATGGGTCTAGAACTCAATAGCGTCCGAAGATCCTTCGCGAACAAAGAGACAAAGGACTGCAATGATGACTGCCACTGAGGCTTCGAACGTACATCAGTGCAAGAAGGAGCCCGCCAGTCTGCTGTACCCATGATCTCGAGAGCCTCAGAGCCTCAGACGGTTCTCTTGGTTCGCCACACGAGCTGTTGTGAACGATCATGGGGAGCCGTTAGAGCATGGCTTTCGGCTGCACATGCTGCACACTTCAAACTCCCAAAAGGGGAGAGGGAAGAGCTCAGTTAGAGGCATGGACTGTTCAGATAATCATCTTCTACAAGCACCAGCTCTTGTAAGCTGCGCAGGACTGTACAATCTAGGGCTAATTCCTGCTATCGACTGCAGCAAGATATCTCGGTGACTGTAGGAACCTACGAATTGACAGCCTGCTTCTCTTACTCTCTCTCTGCAAGAACCCCATCCGCCCATCTCACACTGTCTCTTTCTCTCTCCTTTGCTATATTGAAACAGATCTGAAGTCGAATATGGAAATGTTCTGAAGACGCTCTAGCTCCAAAGGTGAGTAATGATTACAGCCACAGTTTCCATTCCACTAAATTCTCGGCATGGCTTAGAAAGAAAGGCTGGAATTTGGTACCTCACATACTCATGAATCGGTTCTTATGTTCTGTCCAATGAGACAGCCTTCAAACTTCTAGTACAATCGAAGGTGTCGCACAAGACCCAACGGTTCGTAGTTGTCATGCTCGTAGTTGTTGGGCGAGATTTCAATTGAAATTTTAGGCTGCGGGGGTTTGTCAGTTCTGCGTAGCTTCAATCTATAGAACACTGGGGTCATAATGAGACACCTGCCAAACAGCCGTAGAGGACTTCTTGTATGGTCAAGGAAGGTGACAAAGATTTGGCTTGTCATAAGTAAACAGGTAAATGCTTGCCAAGCAGATAAATAGTAACTACAGCGTTCAGGAAGATGATATATAATCTTATGAGAAACGCCTGAAGGATACGCGAGATAGCAGATTCCATATGCCATTGACCTTTTCCATCTGCAAGTCCGCATATGGCAAGACTGATTCAGTAAGGTTTCTCGTCTAATATATTTTATGTTTCTCGAAATCTTATCTCAGTCTCAGGCGTGCCCATATTTCCTTCGTGACAACCCTCAAACTTGTGGAGCCTTAGCAGTTTAGCCAACTTTCACTCTCCTGTGGTTATCCCACCTTGAGTTTGGACCTGATGGCAGTGTTACCTCCATGTTCACCGTAATTAGAAGGCACGTCGAAGCGAATAGCTTGGTGGCATGCACGTGCATTGAATAGCGGACCATGGAGTACAGCTGCAGTCTAGTACATGCACATGAAGTCCCTTACTGCAACAAAAGACAAACCTTGGTCAAATGGACTTGTTAGAAAGTTGAAAAAAGAGATGCAGCTGCACATTGCTGGCAGACAAGGAAGTAAGATCTTATACAGTAGACCATTGTTACAGCACGCCTGGCTCGCTTGTCCCGGGTAATTTTAGTAATTGGCTACATAAGCTTAGCAATCTTGATTCTCCACATGCATTACAGCAAATTGCATGCTTCAGTTCAGGCGCGAGAGCATGCAATTCCTTAATTGAGGAGGAGGTAAAAGTAAGTTTCCTAAAATCAGGCATGGCATCAATTAAGTGGGTCCTAGTTTATACTACTGGTTTTTTGGTTAAACGGAGACATCGACTTCGTCAGGGGAACGGAAACGTCTTGAGAACTCGAGAATGGAATGATCTATCAAATGCTGGGCGGTCCTAATAATTCAGAGAATTCACTCTAACAAGGAGGCAAAATAAGTAACTACGTTGGATAAAAGGCAAAACACAAATGTGGCCTGCTCTGAGACAGGCTTGGGAGTTTAGGGTGGGAGATGGGGCCTGATTCCCCACTGATCATTGAACGTAGGAAGAGGAAAGTGGGGAACGGTTATACTTTTTAGAGGGTTCTCAGACCTTGAAAAGACAAGATTGCAGAGACGACAAAGTTTGCATGATTCTAAACAGGTTCACGAACTTTAGCGACTGTAGATCTCTGAGTGCTTAATGCATGCACATAGGACGTTTTGACCAGATACAGAACAATCAACAAACAACAAGAACCGTTGAGTGTCGAGGACTTCATCTTTTTGAGGAAGTTTTCAGCACTCAGGTCTGTACTTAACTATCGGAGAAGACACTTCCGCCATAGTGCTAGACGTCGTGTCCAGTTGCAGTGACTACAGGTTTTCACCAGAATTGGAGGAGGAAACACCCTTGGAATAGCAACAGTATATGTTGAAAACATACCTCTCTACGTATATGCTGGTGAGATCACCAAATTATGATCCAGAAGTAAATCATACCAGGAATTGTATGACAGTCTGTAAGTTGTGAAAAGTTTGTAGCACATGACTTGAAACAGTGATTCTCCTCAATGTCATGTGAAAATAAAGAGGAAGATGAGTTTGTATACTTCAGTCACACAAGTGAAGGCTTTGTTAAGCACTAGTGCCAGTGCGAGGCCAAAGTGAAGAACATGATGAAACAACCGAAGCACACTGGAGCAGAATATACCCACAATTATTTTTGTAGGTTCAAGTCGACTGTGTCAACCTATCGAGGTACGTGGACCAGCTTTGAGGACAGCATAAGATCTCATCTGTTACCTCCACGTACCTCTTGTTTCAAACATATGCATAAGTTTGACTTTCCTCGAGTAGGGTGCCATTTCGCAAAGTGGAAGAACACTACTGTAGTGTTGTAGCCTGGACGATGGTCTTCAGTTCCTACCAGATTAAAAGGGCTTGCACAGGTAAAGGAAAATCTCAAGAAACGACTGGCGTTCAACCTGTACACGTAACCCGTTGATCTGCTAAAATAATTGAGCATCGATATAGATTGACATGCTCTGTCCATGATCTAGGTGTTTCTGTCACACATTTAATCCCTGGCTGTAGCAGCCGGGAGATCAAAATCTAGAGAGCATACAGAATAGAACACATTGCCCTCGGAATCTGAATTTTGTTTGTTGCATCTAGTATTAGGACTCACACGCAATAGACTGATATGATGAGTGGAACGAAATCCATAGAGAGCTCGAAACAGGGACAGAAGGTTTATGTTGCTAGGTATCCGACAGTTTATTGTCCACTCCCAAGTTTGGACACTCAAAACATCTATATAATATCTCCTCCATATCCATCATCGCCTACTGAATCTCTTGAGAGTACAGGTGAGAGGTCAAGATACACTAGTGTTTGTAAAAAGGCAAATCCCAAGTCCTTCGATATCGCATAACTTATTTCGTTCCGATCTTGTTTTTCAGGGTAGTAGCAAGTAGGCCTTACGAGACAGTACCGTCCAGACAGCTTAATAACTATGGAGCCTGTGGAACATTCTGAGTCGCCCTGTGGCTAACGAGATGATCTTTAGAGATCCTTCTGTAAGGGGCTTTAGATCCCTTATCGGGGTCTTGTCTCCCTAGAAGCACGAAATCTTCTACTGCATCGATATTCAGTAAGGCCTTGAAACCTCCAACTCTTTACAATACAATAAGATAGAGCAGCGGTGCGAATCAAGGACGAGTATTGGGTTTTGGTTAGAAAGGTGTAGGGTTTCCCTCCTCCGGTGAACGCAAGGTTTTACGCAAGATCTCCCAGATGCTAAAAACTTAGTCGTTTTCCGTGAACAGTTTGTTAAAACTCTCTCTCTGACAAAAATACGTTCTAGACCAGAACTTCGTGGCCCCCAAACCTGCTAAAGTTTCACTGATAGGGAGCGGCCCTTCAAATGCCTTCATCTTCTTACATCAACATTCTCCGCTTCCCATCCAGTCCCCAATGTTCGCATAATGGAAACTCCCGGAGTGTACATCGATCCATTCTCTTCACAAGAAACTTTAACACTTCAATCGCGTTTTCTTCGCCCGTCTATATTTAGTCTCATACTAGCCGAACCATATCTGGTCTGCCTCCCAAACTACACTTACATCTACAAACCCATTCCGTATGCAGTCCAGACACGGAGAGTCGATTGGAATTTCTCAGTCATAAATGAACTGAACTGAAACTGCATCGCCCAATATTCACATCCAACGGCACTTAGGCCCTAGACTCAAATGTTCTCCAGAGTCTTGTACAACACACGAAGACTCCGGATTCGAGCCCGGCTGCAAAAGGTCAGATGGACTGTGACCTCCTATTGCAGGTCACCGATGGCAAGGGAGTAGATAGATAAGACAATGGCAGCGATTTTCATGGCGATCGAGAGAGAAGGCGCCGGAGCGCGGGAGCGGTAAAGGCAGGCGCCAGATCGGCAGACGGAGCATACGGAGAAACAGGTGGAAAAGGTCGACTGGGAACCGTGCGAGCCCAAATGTCGACCATGGGGAAGCGAGGGTAGGGGAGGTGACGACGTACGCTCGGATCGTGCTCAGAGGGAGGGAGAGGTGCATGGCCACGAGACGATTCGGGAAGAGCAGTCCGGTGTCTCCGGATGGGGACATCAATGTTCGGCTGGGTGCGGGAGCGAGGGAGGCACGTGCTGCCAGATCAGAAACTCGGCGATGTCTGTTTGTTTGCTCAAAGTTTTCCCCGGGCTCGCTCGCCCTTTGCCAGGTCAGGTTCCAACTTCTTGAATCGTGTATTGTAGATTATTAGCTGGAGGGGAGGGGAGGGGACGCGAGGGGAATGGCGGGGTTGGACGGATGGCAGGACATCGACCGTTATACTCCTCGTCAAATTGGGTCGAGACTGCGAACATTTCTCACGTGCGAAAGATCATGCTTAATGTCTGTGCGGGAAGGTATGTGAGGAAGGATGGAAGAGAGAAACTCGTTCCTGACGACGTTTGCTTTTGAGAAACACTATGCGGCAATATTTGTTTTTGAAAGGTTGTAGCAGAAGCCTTTCTTTAGATTACTATTCATAGCGATTGCATCGGTCTCGGTAGGCGTGTACTATGGAGCTTTGACTGCGTGTTAAGAATTTTAATCTGCGTGAATGAATGCCTGCAAAGTGTGAAGCAGAACGAGTCTTCTTTCCGCAGACAGGAGCAAGCGGGGCAGGAGATTGTTTGCTGCACCCTCCCTTCCACTTGGTACGTTTCGGCTCTGCAAGGTCAGTGCCCAGGCAGTCGACAAGGCTTTAATTCTCGTCCAGGGAAGTAATCTCGTGATTCGGAGCTATGTCATCAGTACCATCATTTCAGCTTCCATTCGGCAATGCGGTGTTCCTTGCCAACCCTTATGTGCTGTACAATTCTGGCTCATTAGCTTTTGATGTCACAAACAGATTGCACACGCTCATTTTCCAACACTGTCCGTCCTGCTGATATTTAACTGCATAGACGAATCTTGTCTGCAGTCAGGATGTGTAGAACCTGCATGCAACAATTGATACAGTAAAACGACCAAACATCTACACGAGCGGCGCCTTCTTTCGTACAGGTCGGTCGACCGACCAGCCTCTTCCAGTCGCGACACCGCTCTTCTCAAAGAGATCCGGTCTGCGTGAGTCAAAAAGACTCAATTCTAAAGCCTGTCCTCGACCAGAGTACCAACATTTGACAGTCAAGGTTACAAAGTGCACATTTCAGGTTGTTGTGGCTAACTCTCATGTGTGTCCTGAGTGTGTCTCAAAGGAAGTACGTCGGAACAGCGTAATCCCGGATTGAAAGGCCTCTGCTGGCACCCTGCAATTGGTCGGAGTGGAGTACTCCCTCTGCGAGCAGGCTTTTCACGATGTAAACTTTGAAAGGGCAGTTCTCTAGTGCGTACGTCGTGGTCAATGTTCGCATTATAAAATTTCGTGGTCCAATCCATCGATCAGTTGGAGCCAGTCTTTGCGATACTCTCAGAGTTGCGAACTCGACCTTTTAAATAACTTAAGGATTATCAATGCTAACGCTCGAATATTTGTCCTTCCGAATGTGTACACGAGCACGGCATTGCGAGGTGATGGCAAGCAACTCCATACCTTATCCACTCAAATCTCAAGCCCCATCGAGGACATCGAAAAGTTTGCCTCAAAAGCCAAACCGGAGACATGGACACGATCGAAATGGCATAAACAAGTCCAGAGCCCTCTCACAGCTGACACCAGCTTGTCATGTCACCTCTTCACGCCATCATTCCAGATACTCCTGGTCGCCCTCGGATGTGAAGCCGTTGGTTTCTCATGGTAATCAAGAGCACTCGACGATTCTAAGAATCTGATTCTACGCCGGAAGACGGGCAAAGCGTGACGTACATTCTACTGTTCTGTCAAGTCCTGGCCATGATACGGTCCTGCCTTATCAGTCGAGGACTGTACAGTTGGTGTGAGTACGGTACTGGCAGCCTGAAGGGTCGGGACTCGGGGTATGACAACGGAGAGCTTTACGACTTTCTCCCAGCATGTGAAGCATGGACTGGATTTGGAAACACGGTTCATTTGATTTATACCCAGCGTGGCTTGTGTCTGCGTAGGCAGGCACTAGCAACCTCGCTTTCCCTCGGCTCTTCTCGTCTCTAAGTGGAACGTGGAGGGGCATGGAATGGACGAAGACGGAGAACATGTACGTACCGTCGCCTACCATGGTACTGCTTCTCTCTGCTCCCTCTGATCTGATGCTCTGAATGGGACGGACGGGCAATTGAATGGACCACTTTCCGCGAAGATTTTTTCATGAGTCGCTCCTCTTTTTGTTCATACTTTGCGAGTTCTCGAGGGCAGCAAGCGGCCACTGTTTACTTTCTGCGGGAATCAAAGCTTTGGTCATTGTCATCGGTTTCAGATTTTCGTACAGTGTAGGGACCGGATGCCGAGAAGAATCAAGTTCTGTAAGCTCTCCGAAGCCACTGTTTTCATTATGAGCAATCACAGATGGCAGTGTTCTGATGATTCTCCACTCTCTTACGTGCATGCTATGTCAGCCGGACCGCACGGACCGAACGTTAAAGATTCCCCTGGACTTCGAGTTGTGACGTTTTTAGTCTCGTATATTTCTCTTGACGAAGTCGAAGTCAGTACCTTCCCAAACTTTCAAATCATTCTGGGACAAGGCTTTTCTTGCAACCTTTAAGGTCATCGGTTTTCCTTCACTTCGTTGCTGGTGTGCCGGCAACTCCAACACAGCCATGTGAAGTTTCGTACGAACACTAAGTCACCAGACAACCTGATTCTTGATCCTACAGAAAATGCACATCTCGTAGCCCGATGAAGCGTGGATCTCGAGAGTTTTCAAGTCAATCTATCGACGGTAAGCAGTGCCAAACGCTGAGGATTGCTTGTCGCGTTCGCTCTCAAGATGCCTGTTCCCGGAATGCGTGATCACAAACGAAGACCGGGATACACAACCTCGGTATGATTTCGTCCGCGTTGTGCAATCTGAAATTGGTTAGGGATGTCAAGTCCATACTTCCTCTTGGATGCTAGTCACGCACGGAATTTTCTGAGCAGGGACTGCTAAGACAAGTCACTTTCAAGAAATGTCTCCGTGAAATCTCATAGCTCAGACAGGTCAACGACTGCCTGCCACATCCCACTTACGTTCGAAAGAGATGAAAGGCGAAAGCAATCGAGTGCATATGAGCAGGCTTGAGCCAGGCAGACTTGCCCACGGGGCCTGCCATAGTCGTCAACTTTTTAAGCTATCTGTATAGTGTGTCAACGAAGTTTAGCCACTCCTCGAGGCACGATGCGCACGTCACTTATTAGAACGAGGAAAACATGAGGTCGGCATGGAGTAAGCGAACATGCTCAGCGAAAATTCTACCATTTTTAACACGACTTTCCGCATGTAACACCCGAAATTCAAGAACCCACTTACTCCACCCTTTTGACTTCGGAGGCCACTTGGGGAATCCTGAACACCATCCGTGCTCGGAATTCTCCCTAGCGACTATCCATTGTCCAGCACCTGTCGTGAGCCTCGTCCGCTCGAGCAGTGGGTCCGCCACCCATCCTCTCGAGCATCGGTCACAGACTTCTTGGTCACATCCTACAGCCTTCTCTTGGCTCGGCAACAGAGCGCCTCCAGAAGAGTACATTCCCTGGATGAATATTCCTCAATGTCTCCCTTCCGTTCTGCCCGCGCACTCGTGGCCATCGCTCGCGCTCGCAAGAAGAATTGCGGAGCCGGCCACTCGCCACCTCCGGGCACAGGGCCCGCACTGAAACGGGCCTCCGGCGGGGTCCGGCCGTGGCGTCACCCACAGAGAAGAAAACAGGGCCACCCAGAGGCAGCCCCACATCGACCGGCCCGAGATGTGTGACAGGAGGACCGGGCCTCAGCTGCATGAATCGGCCCCCATCCCCGACAATCACAGGTCCAGGTTCCTCGGCTGCGAGCTTCCCAATCCTCGTCCCACAGGACTCGGAACTCCAATGGCGTGAAGTGAAGACCGGTTGTGGATCCAGCGTGTGCCTCTTTTTTGGGACCGGCAACTGGCTACCGGCCATCGAAGGCCGAGGAGTCGTTCGAACCTTCTACTATCGATCCCCGTGCAGGAGCCGAATGTTGACCCGGCGCGGGGTTCAAAGATTCAATCCCTTCTTACTCGGAGGCAGTGATCGATAACATTCCACGGTAGCGTCCGCGCGCTTTTCGGCCCCTGGATGACGACTTTCCACCGCGTTGGATTGGTCTCCTTCTCGGATATCTTCAGTATCTGTGACGTTTTTCCCATATTTGTTATGTGTTATGGGGTAAATGTTAGCGCTGTCACCGCGGAAGAGAATTCTCTGCTGCGACGCGAATCCTTCGGCTGGGAGCAGAGAGGGCCACGAGTCCTCGATACTGGCGATCGAGAATAGCCTGGTTACTCGAGAGCGAATCTCGATGTTCAGTGTCTGTACTGGGGTGTACTTTCCTGCCAGCTTCTCCGCGAATGTTGCTCCCGGCTCGCAGTCAACATCAGAGCCTTGCCTTCGGGCCCAAGCTCCTTCTCCGGCGCAAGCGCGAGGAAGGTGCGGGCAAGGACTCGGATCTTAGCTTTGGTCCGGGATCTGCACTGCGAGCAGGCGCGGCGGGCCCTTTCGAGTTTCGGAGCTGTCAACCGTTCAAAACTAAGCCTTCCCTCTCGCTCTCAGTTGGAAAGCTGGAGTGCCATTTCTTTCAGGAGGTGGTGGCCTGCAGATCTCCTTGTTAGAACAACGGAGAGTTGTGATTCAGCGTAGAGAAGGGACGCCGCGTAGTAGGAGTGTTCCCACTGTGCTTTGTACGAATTGTATGAACAAATCAAGAAATCTAGATTTGAGTTGAGTTTAGTCGTGATTAGAAGTAGGCAGCTGAGATCTAGTAGATAAGGTGATATCTGTGATTTGCTAGTATCGTGTTTGAAAGAAAAGGAGTTAGCGTTGCCTCGGAAAGGACTGTCTTGTCGAGAGTTCCTAAAGAGGTTGGTGATTAGATTCTACTGAGAGGCGCACGTAAGTTACGATGAGCTCCGAGGATCCTGGAGCGGGAGACAAGCCAGGGTCTAATGTGCCTACCTTTACCACTCAGGCTAATGCTCTGCTTCGGAAGAATATTATTTATCAGGTTTGTCTTATATTCTGCCGTTTGTTTTCTCACCTCTTACAGCATTAGTTTTCTAGAAATCGATGGGCTTTTTACTGTATTCTGATGCAATCCAGGCCTGTGCTTCCTAAGAAGTTCAAAGTTTTGCAATGTTATCAACAACAGCTTGAATTGTTGAGGTTTAGTGCTCTGTGTGGTTCGTTTTGTTGTACAATTGGAAAGGAATTCATCTCGGTGGGTTTTAAAATATTCTTACAGAATTTCAGCCCATTCGAATTCTATGTCCTGATAGAATGACGCCGATGAACAGGGCTTAAAACCTCAAAAATATGGTTCATCGGCCCACTGGCGGAAAATTGGATCAAGTATTTTACATGAGACGAGTAGATCGTTAGACAGCGTAGAGTCACCTGATTTTCGGCCAGTCAAGGGCAGTACACTAGCTGTGCCACCAGCAATGAGCAAGACTTGATCAAAGGATGTCAAAGACTTTAGCAGACCATTACTGCTTCTTTGATTAGTCGCACATGCGTGAATGCTGTTAATGTGAAAACAATGCGCATATGAAAGAATGCTATCCACATTTCTAAGCTTTTGAATCCAATGTGTTGCCCTTCGAAAACTCATCCTATATCTAACTCAGACCCTTTGCTTTGCAGAAGCGCAACTCCGCAACCAACTGCTGCATCGTTTCTTTTCCAATAGCAATATGTATTTTGTTATTTGTGTTTCAAAGAGTAATCAACAATGTCTTCGACAAGGCCGATTACAAATGTGGTTGCGATGAAGCCACGGGGGTATGTGGACTACAATTCTCAGATGGATCTCAAGCAGCTTATTGTGCAGTGGAGCATCCACCAGGATGGCCAGGATTTGTACAGGTGCCCAAACCTGCCTACAGAGCTGTTGTAGGAGGGGCGGATGTCGGAAGTTTCGGAAGACCAGCGACCATACTTTACACTGGCAGAGATCGAAGCATCGCCGATGGTATTTACTTCTCGCCGGAACCTCACTCAAAAACCTCATTCATGTTGTCATGAACTTGTTGTGTTCTGGAAGTACCAGTTAGGCTTATTTTATTCGAAATCAAAGCAGCACATGTTACATGCTTGTACAGCTTTTCCTTGTGTAAACATCTGTTTTAGATTTGATGATCTTTTTGGAAATTTTTTCTTCTATACAGATGGATATTTTTATGTAAATCTTTTCGTGAATCCATCTCCGAGTGGTGAGACGGGGTCGGGTTCAGCGTCTCGAATAAATTGTTTGATTATTTTACGTTGCTTGAGTTTTGAAGGCTACATATAAAACTCTAAACATTGACAGTTATTTGAGAAGTATGAAGATCAGATTATGACCTTCCTTTTTGAAACACCAAGAGGTTATTTAATTTTGCATGTGCTCCTATTCCTTCCTGTCTATAGTATCTTTCTAACCCACCTCTCTAACTTTGATGTTTTCACCTCAGCCCTACAATGCTTCTTGTTTTATCTGAAGTTTATTGCCTACTATCTGTTTCTTATTACTCACTTGCAGAGTAACAGTTTTCAAGGTTTTGTAAGAGCAGAAGAGCAATCTTGGTATTAACGTTCCACTACTCAATATATTATGTTCTATCCTTGTATATATATCACTGATAATACTCTTTTACCTTCTGTAGACTTCCTGTTGTCGAACATGTTCGTGGGCACTTTTTGCACTGTGATACCCATATGCGATACATATCTTTAATTGCCTTAGTAGCTTTCCAGTTCTGTGAACATAGTTTTCTTACTTAGTTCTTTTTAAAGAAGTATTGTCGGATGGATTTGCGTGAGCATTTCCGTTGAGCGAGTTTTGTCTGCATGTTCCAGATCTCTGCTTGGCTCTTCTTTTTGTTCAATTTATTGCATATTGTTTGTTGCCTTTGGCCTTGTGAATGACACCTAGATGTTCGACTGGCCTGTTGGTCAGTGCTTGTCTGAGTTGACGTATGTTGCCAAACACAGTGCAAGCGTCCTTACGACCAAGAAAATAACTATCATTTGAGATTTGAAGGTATTCACTACCTATTGTACCTGATACCGACATCTTCAACAACTTTTGTTTGGCCAGGTCTAGCAAATAGCCTTCTATTGACCACTCCATCGAATAGCACGGATACCTTAACCCAGTTTTCAAACTTGATACCGGTAAGAGTCCCAGCTCAGGTTCTACATTCTATATCCGGCTAAACTTTTGCTTGGCTTTATCAGAGAAAGTCTGCAATGTTGATTGTCATCATAATCTTACGCCCACTTTATTATATATATCAGGATGATTGATTGAGATATTTGTCATCCATCAAATTGCCGTAGTCAGTTTGGCAGGTAGCCATACACCGTAGAGTTGTTGGATAAATCAGCTTCGATGGCAACGCTGATAATCTCGAAGGTTTGAAGTTCGCCCGGCTGTTTAGATCTCTCATTATAACAACACGTGTTTCCTCCAGGGATCTTCTTCATGGCTTCTAAGATCAAACATCATCGAGGCTGCGTTCACAGAGCCCGATCCAATCTACGTTCTGCGAAATCAGTCTTGTCTTGGACAGAGTGATGTCTCTATTTCAGTGAATCTCCTGGGCGCACCCTTTTCAAGAGGTACGTACACTTCGTTTGTTTTCTTTCGGTTGAGACTGGGCTCTGTGTGTGTATATTGTGTCTTGTTGGAGGATCTCTAATGGCCGTGCTGACTGAAGAACAATTTAAATTGCAGGCACAGAGTGCTTAACCACTAGAACAATCTATCGAGACAACTCCAGCGATATCAACTCTGAGTTGTACAAGGGATTTAGAAAAGGCGATCCGCAGGGAAATCCGACACAAATTATTAACGAGTACGCCGGTGGTGAGTCCTATCTGGTGCCTTTGATTGATCTGGTGCCTTATGTTTGATTGGAGTCTTCGTCACTTACCCCTGCATATTAATATTTTTTCTTTCAGTAGTATTTTAACGGCTTACATTTAAACTTACAACTTATATCATGCTCGCAGCTTATGATTTCAGAAACACTTCTTTGAACAATTTTGACGTTGCTATCTTCTACAACCAAACTATGGTCAATGATACCAGTCAAGCACCTCCAGGATATGCACGTGTATCGAGACCCATGAATTTGGTAATACAATCGCCTTCATTGTTCTATATGGTGTTCTGCAATATCAACGTTTTATGGACTTCGGTTTTCATACAAATTTACATACTCTATCACTAAAAGTGAAGCGTGAGAGTGGGGCGATTGAACTAACTTTGATCATACGTATATGTTTGCAGGCCGTCCAAGCATTTGTGCGCTTCGCTGTAGGTGCTCAAGCGGAAGTGCCGCTGTGGTTCGTAAAAGAGATGCCTAGAAGTGCAAGTCAGCTTCGTCTAGACTTGACTTCTCTTCTAGGACCTTTATTTTACATGTGGGTCGCAGCACTTCTTTTCCCTGTGAGTATATGTCACTTGCCTTCTCCTAACGATACTGACAAAATTCGTAAAGTTCAAAACTGGAGTTTGTAAAAATCTGAAATGTGTATGCTTGGACTGCGAAAGTAGTTGCATGGTTCGGAGACCCTTTTTGATCCTGTTTTTCGTTTTTGAGCACAAAGCTCCATGTGCATTGCAATATCAAAACTCACCGGACTCTTGCGCTCGGCGTGCCAGCTTTCTCAAATATGCTCACATTGAAATCTGGTATACTACGCAGGTTATTGTGACGTCAGTGGTATATGAGAAACAAAAGAATCTACGGATGATGATGAAGATGCACGGTCTGGGAGATAATGCATACTGGGCCATCACTTATTTATACTTCTTCGCCCTTTCTATCGTTTACTTCTTCTTCTTCGTTGCGATCGGTTCTCTCGTCGGTAAGATACTTATGTCCAGACCGTGAAAGGAATCTATTATGAATGCATATATGTACGACTTTGAAAAAAAAATGGCACCCATGAGTGGTAGCTGGTTACCTTGGTCACACATTCGTCTCATGTTGTATAGTACGTGAAGTCAATGTGCAACTTCTTTGATCTTAATTTCCATGGTGAAGCATGTCTTCAGGACAACATTGTTGCAAACTTCTTAGTCATGAGTGTTTTGATTGATCTCCCCATCGTTCGTTTGCAGGTCTACAATTTTTCAGGCTGAATTCTTACTCCCTACAGGCCGTCTTTTACTTCGTGTATTTGAACCTGCAAGTGGCCCTCGGTATTCTTGCCGCTACAATATTCACAAATGCGAAGACGGCAACAGGTCAGTTTCCAAACCCGTTCTTTCCTCACAACAAGATGACATTTCTCCCATGTATGCTTCTTAGTTTGGACACAGGCAGCAGCAACTCGCCCATCTCTGTCAAAGTTCGTATGGAATGGGAGATACTATTGAGTTTTTAATCTTTCTTTAATTATATACAGAAGTAAACAATGTTTGATCATTCTTGAATATTCAAATTCTTCTCACTGATGTGTTCTGTCATGTATAATGTACTTACATCCGAACCTGCCTACTCCCCTGCACCGTAACATGGGTGGACTGAAGTCAATTTTATAATCATGTATTAGGTAGGACTGTTCATCAGTTGTGTAAACTGGTGGTGACAAGAGCTTATTACTGAAGTCGTTCACACTTCCATTGCTTGGAATCCATACCAATATTGTTCTTGGTCGAACTAAGAGCCGTTGCTAGAGAGTTGTCTCGAGACACAGATGTTGCGTAGAGGTGATTATTGACAGTGCAGCATTTCTGTGATTGGCAGTTAGCGGTTACTTATACGTGTTCGGATTTGGCTTGATGGGCCAATTTTTCTTCTCATCGTTTTTGGAAGACAAGAACACAGGCAGTAAGTATCTACCCTAGTGCAGCCTTTTAGATCAGGAATAATCTGTTGTTGTTTGAGCTTGTGACAGGATCTCTGTTTGCATATGTGACTCTTCACATAAAAGAACCATCATCTTGTTCAAGGAACTTACAGGGACTCTTTGGGATATGCAGGGGGCTGGATTCTGGGGATGGAATTTCTGCCTCCCTTCTCATTGTATCGAGGTCTGTACGAATTTGGCCAGTACGCCTTCGTTGGCAACTTCCAGAAAACAGACGGAATGAAGTGGGGCAACCTGTCAGATAAAGACAATGGTCTCAGAACTGTCCTGATTATTCAGGCTGTTGAATGGCTCGTCGCTTTATTTCTGGCATGGTACCTAGATCAGGTTGTTCAGTCAGGTAGCGGAATTAGGAAACACCCTCTCTTCTTCCTCAGAAGTAAGAAAAAGCTGTCTAGTAGTTCAGCGCCAGCTAAGAGTTTATCAAGGACGAAGGGCGTGGATGTTGACATCGAAATGGACAAGCCCGACGTGGCACAGGAGGTTAGTTTCTTATCCGTCTGCCATCAATTGTACTAATTACAACTGGTCACACGAACATGCATCTCTTAGGTGTCTTTCCCATCTTCTTTGGAAATGCATCTATTGTAGTTGTAGTTCCTGCCCAGACTCCAATCTAAGGCATAAATTCTGGCTTTACACTTCTGATCATATCTCTTTGAAATAATGCTTCTTGTTATAAGATGTTATTTCCAACCGAGGTAACTGGGCGGATTATATGACTCATCACTTTCTTCCATGTTCGTCAAATTTGACGTCAAGAGACACGAAACGAATTTGCTGCGTTGCTCAATCTGCACCCTCTACCATTCAGCTACTTGACAAAGGAGATCAACCAGACATGGATGATCAGAACCAGATTACATTTTCGTTCACTGAATGCGGCTGTATGCTGGTGACTATCCATCTCACAAGATTTCTAACAACTTGAATTTTAACATGCAGAGGAGTGTGGTTGATAGGTTGCGGCATGAACCGGATAGCGCATATTCCATTATATGTGACAATTTGAAAAAGGTGTATCCTGGAACAGATGGGAATCCTGATAAGTATGCCGTCCGAGGGCTTTCTTTGGCGGTTCAACGAAACGAGTGCTTTGGCATGCTTGGACCAAATGGTGCCGGGAAGACGTCAACCATCAACATGATGATTGGGTTCTTGACACCCAGCTCAGGGACAGCGTACATCAAGGGACTAGACATTCGAACAGAGATGGATCGGATCTATACAAGCATGGGGGTTTGCCCGCAACATGATTTGATATGGGAAACTCTAAGTGGCAGGGAGCATCTGATGTTTTACGGTCGATTGAAGAATCTGAAAGGTTCAGCTCTTGAAAGTGCTGTGGATGCATCTCTGAAAAGTGTCAACCTGTTCAACAACGGAGTCGGTGACAAGAGGTCGGGTCAGTACAGTGGAGGAATGAAGCGAAGGTTGAGTGTTGCCATATCGTTGATCGGCAACCCGCAAGTCGTATACATGGACGAACCCAGCACTGGGCTCGACCCAGCATCACGCTTCAATCTCTGGAACGTGGTGAAGCAGGCCAAGAAGGACCGGGCGATCATTCTCACCACTCACTCCATGGAAGAAGCCGAAGCTCTCTGCGACCGCTTGGGCATCTTCGTCAACGGCCAGCTTCAGTGCATCGGAGATTCGAAGGAGTTGACGTCCAGATACGGAGGCGTCCATGTTTTGACCATCACAACTCCCGCCGACGAGGAGGACGATGTGGCCAAAATGGTGAGCTCGTTTTCTCCGAACGCCAGGAAAGTGTACGGTCTCGCGGGCACGCAGAAGTTCGAGATCCCCAAGACAGACGTGCAAATTGCTCAAATTTTTGCCTCCGTTGAGAAGGCCAAGCAAAGTTTCAGCATCCAGGCGTGGGGAATTGCCGATACTACTCTTGAAGATGTTTTCATCCAGATCGCTCGTGAGGCGCAAGGAGACGTGCCTCTGTCATGAATGCCGTCCTTCCATACGTGCTGAAACATTTAGTTTTGACCTCTCCTCCAGTGCAAACTCTCTTCAACCTCACCAACACCCACCATGTCGTAGGACTTCCACTGCCTTCGAGCGCAGCTGCAGGACACTTGAAGTTTTACTTTCTCGGAGTCGATGAACATTTAGGATAGAGCGTCACAAAATCTGCTGTTATTTGTCATGTAATTGTAGCAGGTAGACATTCACGACCTCGGATCTTTCACGTACTAAGAGATCTCGCACGGTTGGCCGTAGCTGTCCAACCTCACAGTTGTGTGCATTAAATTGTGTACATAATTTTTTGGAGATATAGGATCTCCCCTTCAAGTTCTTCTGCCTCGTTCGGCTGTCTTTTGGCCACTCAACACCTCAAATGTAATATCACGTTGACCCAAAGGAGAGATAGAATAACGTAAAATGCTAGCAAGAACATTCACATCGGAAAGCCTCATGTTTGCAACATATCGTACTACAAAACGAAATAATTCAAGTTATCCATAAGTATTTTTAAAAATATTTTTAACCATGTACATTCGGTTTTGTGTGTTTTTGTTATTCTGAGTAACTTATTGTACAGCCAAACACTACCGTGACGTTACCAAGTTTTGTGTGACTTTTTAACTGCGAAACAGCGATGAGGTAATAACATACTGTCCAAACGAGGTACAATCCACGAATTCTGGTTGTGTTCCTAAAGTAAGGGATGTATGGTATATAAATCATTACTCTAATAACAATTAAGCTTCATAGAATTGGTAAAATCGATGCAAGACATTTGATTCTAATGTTACATGATGACTTAGATGTAACAATATGGAATCTAAACTACACCTAAGCTCAATCAATCTCATGCATTCATTGTACCTTGTTATGTTATAATCACATGATATGGAATTATGTTATCTACAGTTTTTTCAACGTCAAGATGTAAAGATATGAAATTTATAGGAAAACTAGGTACATGGAAATTGATTATAGTGGGTTTCAACACAAGGCTTTCAATTTGTCATACTTTTTCATAAGAACAATAATAATGAATTTAATTGCGTCAAGTATAACTCATTATCAATATTATTCGTGACGTTGTCTAAATTTCATGTGTTTAAATTTTAAAAGTTTACTTATATAGATGCAAAATTTGAGTAAGAAAACAAGCCCAAGGGAAAAATTGAATCTATTAATCTTTATACATAATAGAGGAAATAACTAAAAACCTTCTTGAACAAAGTTCAAAAGGTATTTTCTGCACATGAATCTGGATACTATTATGCCCCAATTCAAGAAGTTATCGAAAATGAGGGAATAGTGTAAACTCTTTAACTTAACGTTTGTCAGGTCTAACATATGACATATTTTTAATTGCTAAGTATTTTCTTTATCGGCTGAATGCAAGCAGTGCCTTAAAATATGGAGCAATGTATTCACTCTGGAAAATTTTCAGATTGAAAAAAAATATCTTGGGAGTTTGAAACAATCAGTAACTCATATATATCAAATTAAAATTTACATCATTGAATTGAATTGGATATTTATAATAGATTTTTCTGAAATTTTAGACAAATCCCTTAAACCAAGAGCGGATCTGAATATTGGATACGCAATAAGTAGTCTACATTCCGTTTTGAATGATGAACTCTACAAGCATGCACATAGAAGGGCGTCTACTGCGTTCGAGCGGGGTTGTATCTTCAAAATCAGGAAGAAATGAATACAACAAACAAGCTCAAATTCAACAAAAGAAATCTTTACAATTTAATGAACTATATTAAAAATCGCAGGGTTAATATAAATCCATTGGAAGACAACTATTTTCAGAATGTTAAAGATACCAAGAAAAATCCCAAGAACTAATGAAAGAAGTGAAAAAATGTCATAATTGTGATGGTTTGATGGGCTTCAGTTGCTTTCATCATCCCTTTGTTATCTATGATTCGTTGTGCTAGGGTGTAATCATTGAGTTGGTTACTAAATCTTCGATACATCATGAAACATTAGAGAGAATTAAATTATGGTAACAGCTAATTATACCTAAATTTAGGATAGCTATCCCTCACCTTACTATACTAGGATGAGGTATAATTTACCAAGTATGTAGTTATTAGGTTGGACCTTCGCCAAGAATCGAGAGCTGGAGATGATCCACGCCAGATAGCTTGCTGCTTAACTCCTCTCTTCATCGTCATGGTCTTCTCTTCCATGCAATAGCAAAGTGTCTCGGAGGCTAATTCACCGGCTCGTGTGTTCCTCCTCTCCTGTTGCAAATACTCACTCTGACTCTACATTCACGAGGAGGAGGAGGAGCTGCAACAATTGTTCAAGCTTATTCTTGTCTCAATTTGTCCATAATCTACTTGCTGGAGATCGGCTCAAAGTTTGCGGCAATTGTATCCCGACGTTTGTGTGAACCAGCACCCTTGCATTGAGTCCAGTCTAATCATAACTCTAGAGTTAGCTCCTTTCACTAATCGAGCTTTGCAAGCGAAGCTTGCAAAGCTCGATTCAAGACCCACCCACAATAACTCTCAGCTTCAAACCTAAGGAGGTCTTCCTCGATTTCATCATTTCAGGCTATTGTAACCGGCAAGGGCCCATCTAAGAGGTTATCGAGCTTTGGCTTGTCACAACTGAGAACTATGTCTGAGTATGATGGATAAACCTTGATTTCAGGCTATTGTCACCGGCAAGGGCCGATCGAGAACTTGTCCGACCACTTGGCTAATTACCCCTCACCTTAGTATAGTAGGGTGAGGGATAGTTAGCTTAAACTGAGGGATAATTAGCCGATCCTTAAATCATTCTGTAAACAACTCATTAATGAAGATTTTGTGAGTGTGATAACTTACAAGCCTTTAATTTATTTAATTTTTTAAATATTTTGTGAAAATGACAAATTTATAGATTTGAATTAAATTCATAATATTAGGATTCTGTATGTGGAGCAAAAATTACAACTAAAATATGCTTTGACAATTATGTCATGCATCAATGTCAAAAAGATCAAGAAATTTTTTTGAATATTTTGTTTTCCAAACAATGACTTATCCTTATAGCTGAAATTTAGCTTTGACACTTTCAAGACAAACCTTCCTTCATGTATTTATGATCATAATCTGGATTTTACCAAGGTATAATCATGAACATGGTGATTACCATGACATGGTGAGCATATACTTGGTTCAAAAGATGTCACCTTTGTTTTTTGAGAATCTGGCTAGAATGCTTTAGTCGTCACATAATTAGGCAAATATTTAATAGATGAAGGTGAGAATGAAGATCTCGAGCTGCATGTCGAGTAAGTTGAGGATTTGACGCTTTAGAAGTATGTGATATAAGCTGATCCATTTATTTCATTTTCATGAATGTCATTAAATACGCTAGTCGTTGAGATGCAGACGTTCAGGACTCTACTTGTGAGGTGTATGTTTGACAAGAATATCATTATGAAGAAATTTTCTGCTAAGATTTCCCATCTTTCTGTAGATCTTAAGATGAATATCCATTTCACGGTAAGGAGGAATTGGAAGGCTTAAAAAATATCCAACAATTTGTGCCTCGTGTGCGCTATTTTTTGACGTTGTATTAATGGACCTTCAATACATTTGAAAGGTCCATATCGATGTCACAATTTAATCTTCCAACTTTATAGTGCACCAAAATCTAGCGAAACACAATCCCCAAGGATGGCTTAGTCCCTACCAGTGAAAGTACATGATAAGGCTCTTTAAATTCTTTCCTTCGTACTCCTGTCACCTGATAAATCATAACTTGAACATCGGATGACTAGACAATCTAAACAAACTAAGATTTTGCGTTGCTGACTAATGTTCGCACTCTCTGAGCTCGAGAAATCATATGTAAGCAGAGCTTTCTTATTGCAAAAAGCTCACACAATGTCCTATCCGTCTGACATAAATAACAGTCAAAAGTCTTAATCTTGAGCCCTCAACTCTAGTGTTCGTCTCCGACACTTGCACATGCTGAAAGCACCGATGGAAGTGGTAACATATTTAGTGCAAGTACACAACCGAAATTACGAAGTACTTGCGTAGTATCTTGCTGTAAACATAGACCTCGGAGCAAACACGACCATTTCTTTTGGTGATCACCACTTTGGCATTCAGAGGCACGAAGCATGAAGCATCTAGCTCCTCACCGTCAACGACGGCTTTGAGATTCCAGAATATGCCGAGCAGGTCCAACGGAGAGGAGAGCTTCTCCAGAGTGTAACGAACTAGCTTGGAAGCCTTGTCATGCAGGTCGAATTCGTCGTCTCCCTTGTATCCGTATTTGCTCTTGTAGGATGGTGATACCGTCACGTGAACATCCACACCACATTCGTTCTTGTAATCGCATTCGTAAACATCAGCAGCGATGGCGGCGGAGCTGAACATCGCAACAGTCCCAGCGATGGCAGTCATCAAGACGAGGCTACGGGTGGCTATCTTCATCATGTACGCCGACTGCTCTCCAACTGCAAAAAAGAGCGAAACGACAGAAAGCCCTCCTGAGAACAGGTGACAGTCGCGAGATGAAGGTGCTGATGATGGGTGAGTTTGTAGCAGCTTGCAGCTTGCAGGCATTTATAAAGAAAAGTGAGCCTCACAGGAGGAGATCAAAATGTCCAATACATTTTTATTTGATCATGAAGACGTGCAATGAATGAGTCATGACAACATAATAAAACCTTTTACCACGTAGCAAGTTCTTCATTGTGATTCATTGACTGAGGGCCTCGATGTTCTTTATTTCTACATTATCTGAACGGTGAGACCCCGATCTGATAGGCAGTACATGTCTTGCCTGGCTACTCAACAATAGATATCCGCAGCCCTTTGCGCAGCATTCCATGTAATAGCTGGTTCGTCGCCGTAGATATCCAGTATCTGTGACTTGCTTTGATTGATTGTACAGGATCTGTGAGGATCCGTGGCACACGTAGCTCATAGATCGAGGATCATGAGGTACTCCATTGTCTGAATTTGCAGAGAGCCCATCGATCACGAATTGGAAAGAAGAGAAGCCCTAGACAAATCGGGGATGATCGAAGTCAACTGGCTTCATGCTGATCTTTCTCTTGTTGGGATGAATCCGAAATCGGAATTCTCAGATTGTTCACTGATTGGAGCTTCCACTGATTCCCCACGATGTTTCTGATAGTGCCAGATGTTCTCAGTATTCATGCATATCATGAATGTTCTACTAAATGATCTGAGAACCTCGACAGTGAGCCACATACACAAACAGCCATATAATCCTCACTTTCCCATCCTCACTTATCCATGATCTGTGAGCCGTAATGGTGCAGTAATCAACAGAGATCCACGATACAGCACACGAAACTTGCGGTTCAAATGAAGATTAGCTTTGTCATGCTCGTTTTGTGCCCAAGATTGCTCGTTGACGAAGCAAAGATGAAAAAAGTTATCGTTCACGACTAGGGCTCCATTCGGGTCGGGTTCGACCTTCAACCTGACCCGAAAAACCGGGTCGGGTTCGGGTCGATTCGCGTAGAATCCGGAAAACTTTTCACAGTACCAACGACATAAGGAAGCGATTGTTTGTCATCTCGAAGCACAGAATTGCACAGACCAGGCTTATATCGCATTGACCGTGTCTATCAGTTCCAGCATGACAATACAATTGCACAGTACAAATCAATAGGTGACGTGAACAGAAGATATATCATAATTGGAAAAGAAAATTCGCATCCATGGATCACGTGATTTGGATATGTTCCTGGCATGCACCATATCTGCATGAAATTTTTCAAGCTGCAGGCATGATCTGGAAGCATCGATAGCCATCACCGCGTCCAAAATGGATTTCGAGCCTTCAAAAAGTCGCTCGTTTTCAGGGTCGTTCCACACTAGAATCAAATTCTAAAAATGCGTGACAGGACACGTAAATCTTCTCTGATGGCCCTCATCCAGCATGGAATCGAAAATAAAAAGCCATATAGTGAATTTGCAAAGCCAAAGGAAATCTTCGGGCTCTATATTGTAGTTGCACGAGTATCCCACAATGTCAGCAATTGGACGGAGCATAGAATTGCACGGAGTAGAGAAACGCCCTCCTCTAACATGAAAGACCCGAACAAGTAGTGACCACGCTCCTTGCGAGCCTGTGCGGGCTCCCGGCCCCTTACAGTCGCATACTGCGAGACAACTCACAAATCTTTACAGGTTTGGAATCTTGTGGAGTATCTGAGGTCAAAAGTACGAAGAGCTCGTGTTTCTCTCACCTTCTCGGAAAGCATGACTGCAGACGACCATCGTCGAACACCTGCATAATTTAGAATAGTGGCTTCGGAGTATTGATAAAGGCTCCTAAATTATCCAAGAAACAAGTTTCATGTTCCATGAAAGTTCATGGTAGAATTTATTAATTTTTGGGTTTTCGGGTCGGGTACAGCCCTCTACCCGAACCTGAACCCGACCCAACCCGAAGTCGGGTTTCGGCTTTTACCCCAACCCGATCGGAGCCCTATTCACGACAACCATGCAAAGGAAGATGTCGGAAGCTTTTTTCTCTGCAAATGCTTTGAGCCCAGAATGAGAAAAGACATCGATTAGTAACCTATAAATTTCATATGGGACCCTACTCAAGCACACTTACCATGAATGAAGACCACAGTTTCTTTTATCAGCTCATTTCCAGGATCGGTCGTTGTTGTCCGAGCTTACGCCACGCAAAGTCGGACAGCCATTCTGGATCCAATTAGCCCTTTCACGTGTCAGAATTTAACAACTGATGAATAAGTCGGGAATTGTGTCGTCTGTGTAGGATTGTTTTTAGGCAGAGCACATCCTAGCTAAGTGTGTACTTCAGACAGTTTTTGATAACAGAGGATGAGAAATTCCACCTCTAGACGAGACATATATTGGTCTGACGAGAGCACCGTTTCAAGAATCCATGGCATCGAGAGAGCAGCTCCCTGAATGAGGGACTCTAAGGCACTCAGTTGAAACTCTCACAGCTAAGCCCAGAATCACTAGCCGATCCTTAGCTGAAACCACCTGTCAGAGAAATGCACCTTGAAGAAAAGCTGCAGAACAACCGGGCGTAACAATCCAAGCTCTATTCTTGCGTTGTCGATGATGGACTCGTCTTGCGATTGTATTTGTCTTCAATAAAAATAATCCATAAAAATAATAATAATCCATAAAAATAATCCAACCGGTTTGTGGTTTTTTTTACCACCCATCTAATATATTTTTACAATTTCAAGTTCTAGATGTTTGAATAATGCTTTCTGTGCGACTACCAAGACTTTACAAGTTACTCCCAAAAAACACCAAACCACGAAGAGCGCGTGCAAGGGATCTGAAAATTGATGCAATCTAATGATTATATTGCATTTATTTTCAGACCCTGCGTAATTATTACACAGGATCTATTTACACGACAAATTAAGCGAGTCCTCGTGTTGACGCCGTACAAGAACTTGTTATCCCCTGTCACAAGGTGCGCCAAGTCGCACCCACAACTGAAGTCACGGCTAATGCTAATCAACAGTAAAAGTTTGGCTTTAGCCCTCCCGCTTCGCAGGCCCACCAATCTAGAAATTGATCCATACTTCTAGCTTACAAATGCACTTGCAAACGACGATAATCGCTGTTACTATCATTTGACGCATCAGCAGCAATGGAATCGTGAAATAACATTCGAGGGTTATGAACAAAAATGCGTAGGCTAGACTCTGGCTGAATTCTAGAACCGAAACTTGAAAAAGTAATCAAAGCAGAGTTGATTACATTCTCCATCTATGGCCTGTTAACGGTCTTCTGAAATATATTTCCCCCTTGAAATACGCAGTTGAAGACTGAAGAAGTATTCCTGTCTTCGGGTTGTCGAGGTCCTCGACAACTCGAAGTCCAACCATTCATAAACGAAATCGCTGCTAAGTCCTTCGACCTTAAGGGTCGAAGGCCTTAGCAGCGATTTAGTTCAAGAACGAATCAAAAAGATTTCTACGTATCGTACTTTCCCCATATACAACCTACAATTCCCAATCTAACGATGTGTCTTCAGTCAAGATCGGAATGTTGTCAGAGACTCATTTCAGTCCATCCACTTCGAAGGAAAGATAGTTCATTTCTATTTCTTCACATCCGAAGAGCAAGTTTGACTTCTGTGTGGCTCATCCTCGCTCATCCTGTCCCCTGTTACATATAGTAGTAGAGGCACGAAACCAAACAGGTACATGTAGAAAACTGACAAACTCTCAACAACAGAAAACCATTACATTAACAATAACATCCAAAACTTGTGAAAGAGAGTAATTACTAAAACCTGTCACTCCGTCACTCCCCATACTCTTTTCTCCGTCAAATATGCTGAATATATTATCTAGAAATGAGTGCGGAGAAGGACAGAAAACAAAGGCGAAAACTTAGTATATTCGCAGGAGAAGCGAGGAGGAAACGTCTATTGCTTCTCGAGGAATCCTTGTTCTTCTTCTCGTGGTTAGCGTCACATGTCGCCAACCTTCTCTTTATTTTGCGACGAGCGTCTCAGTTCGGTTTAGGACGGCGGTCCAAGACTGATTTCAAGTCGGTCCAAGACTCTCTCACACACGAGTGTCCCTTCTGATCTAAATGAGAGCAAGGGATGGACAAGATAATACGAGTCCATTCGGTATTGGTAAACATCCTTACTCAATGAATGAACCGATGAAAACAAAAATAAGAAATTCATAACCAAAGGATTTTGTTCAAGAATGAAATCAACACTCCCACACACGAGTGTCTGACTGATTTGATTTGAATGGGAGGGATAGATAGACCCATGGTGGACTTTGAGGTCAACTAGCTCACCGGTGGATAAGTTAATGTTTTTTCTGTAAAGTAATGCATTATAGTTTTATAAAAATTGTTTAACAAAGTTTAAAAAAAAACCCTTGTTCTTTTGTATCTGAATGAAACCTAGCTCGGCTTATAGGTTCCGATCGGTGTTGTACCTTAGAGTAGCAATGTTCAGAAAGCTATTCATTAGCGATCTTGCACATTTCTATTCCTATATAGTGTTTGTATTTGTATAAGAAAAGAATGTTTTTCCTGTTAGTTGGTTGTGAAGAGAGCTTGATCGTTCTTGGCTACTGTACGCGCGTCCAGCCCGCGGCCATTTCGAACACAAGTTGGGATGGGAGAGTTGTAGAGGCGCTGTGGTTGGAGGAGGAGATGGTTTTTAGTTCTTTTTCTTGTTTGCTGATTTTTGTGCGGCTGCCTCGACTTTACAACTGATATGAGCTCAACGGTTAGTGGGTGGTTATGTTGAGCAGCACTTGGTTATGTTGGAATTTCACACCAACATAAGCTCCCAGGAAGCTTGGAGCTATAATACATGTTGTAAAGTTGAGGTATCCGTACAAAAATCAACAACGGAGAACAATAATTGCTTGTAAACAAAATTACTCTAAATATATCTTGTCTCAACTTTACATTGAGTCCGCCAATAGTTAATGGATGTAGCAATTTGATATCTCTTGGACAGATTGCTACTGAAAATTCATAATCTAACAAAGTTTTGGTCACACCATAAG